CCCCCCCCCCACCAAAGTTGTAAAGTTCGTTTTTCCACATAACGAAAGGCATATGTTCTGTTTCTTGTTTTGTCTAAGTTTATAGCCTAGGATTCTGTACTTGGTAGGTTTTGCTAATTATGATTATGATTCCAACCTATTTTTAGCCAAAACTGAAGTTAATCTGTCAAATATGTATGTGAGTTATTTAAAAGTTAATATTCCTTTTTCTATTTGGCCACATAGAGTTGAAATATGAAATGTTTAATGACTTGAGTTTTCTACTTTTAAGAAAAATTAAATTCCTAATGAATTTTGTTTGAAATCTGTTTATTTTCAACTTTTAGCCAGTCGGATGATGATTCTGGGTCAGCTTCAGGCTCGGGATCAGGTTCAAGTTCTGGAAGCAGTAGTGATGGAAGCAGTAGCCAGTCAGGTAGCAGTGACTCTGACTCTGGATCTGACTCAGGCAGTCAGTCAGAATCTGAGTCAGATACATCACGAGAAAACAAAGTTCAAGCCAAACCACCGAAAGTTGATGGAGCAGAGGTAATAAAATTATCAATGAAAAATAGATTTCTTATTACTTTGGGCAGATTTCTAGCATTGGCTTATACTATTCTTAGTAGAGCTTCTAGAATGAAAAATTAAACATTAAATGTACTTTTAGTAATTCTTTTTTTTTTAATTTTTTTTTTTTGTTGTTGGTCGTGAGGCCTGAACTCTGTGCCTGGGCGCTGTCCCTCAGCTCTTCAGGTCAAGGCTAGCGCACTACCACTTGACCCACAGCATTACTTCTGGTGTTTTCTGCTTATATGGTGCTGAAGAATTGAACCCAGGGCCTCATGTATGCAAGGCAAGCACTCTACCACTGAGCTGCCTTCCCAGCCTCTACTTTTACTAATTCTTGAGCCTGTGTTGATATATTTGGACTAATTGGCTTAAAAGAGATATAACTAACTAAAACAGCAAGAATAAAATGTACTTACAAACATAGAAAGTTCTACCTCTTCTGAGACAGAGGTGAAATTTCAAAAATGTTCAAGTTTTCTGAGGCTGAGGATATAGCGATAGAACATCTGTTTTTCTGTGTGAGGACCTGAGTTCATCCCTAACACTACAAAATCAGGGATGAATATTAAGGGTTTATGTGGTCTTGTAAATAAACACATCCAACTTCATTAACATTACTTAGAGTTCCATTCCATGAGGAGATAAGATGCACAGGCCAAGAATACAAATCAACATATTGCTTCATTAGTGGAGAACTTTTACCATTAAAAAAAAAGAGCTAATGTAATGTGCTTAGTGTCAAAGTGTATTTATATTTTGAACAGGTTCTTTATCTTCATACTGATAAAATAGCCACATTGTGTGTAGTATTATATTATCACTTTGCTCTTGAAAATAATACTGTAAACAATTGGATATCTATGAAATTCAACTTACCATAAATTACTTAAAATACAATTAAAGTTTAGCATTTTATTTAACTTCTATTGCAGTGATATTGCATTATATATAACATTAGCAAATAAAATAGCCTTAATTTATTACTTGGAAGGAGTGAAAAATGTTGGAATTGTCATAGCCTGTTGTCCCTGTCCCATGGTGGTACCTCCCCCAGCCCCCACACATACACATTTTATTACCTGGTTTATGTATCTGTTACAGTTTTGGAAATCTAGCCCTAGTATTTTGGCTGTTCAGAGATCTGCAATGCTCAAGAAGCAGCAGCAGCAGCAGCAGCAACAGCAGCAACATCCAGCTTCATCTAATAGTGGATCAGAAGAGGTCAGTTCAATACAAGTTGGCATATTAAAAGAGATATATACCTAGTTACTTAATATAATTGTTTTGAAAGTGCAAATAGGAAATATTATGTCTCAGACATTTTGAATTGTAGACATGAACTCCATCTTTAGAGATTAATCCCAGTCAATGAGAAATTTGTTCAGATGTCTTTTTTTGTTGTTGTTGTTGGTCATGGGGCTTTAACTCTGGGCCTGGGCACTGTCCCTCAGCTCTTCAGCTCAAGGCAAGTGCTCTACCACTTGAGACACAGCTCCACTTTCGGTTTTCTTGTTGTTAATTTGAGATAAGAGTCTCAGGGATTTTCCTGCCCGGGCTGGCTTTGAACCATAATCCTCAGATCTCAGCCTCCTGAAATAGCTAAGTTTACAGGAGTGAGCCACAGGTACCCGGCTTGTGTGAGTGTCTTTACCCCAGAATTAGAAATAAACTAGCTTGGCATGTTGGTGTATGGTTATAATTCCAATAGTAGTTGAAATTTTGACAAGAGGATTGAAAATTTGAAGCTATACTAGTCTAAGACCCTATGTCTTTAAAAAAAAAAAAGTAAGCTGAGTGCTGGTCGCTCATGCCTATAATCCTGGCTACTCAGGAGGCTGAGATCTGAGGACGTTGTTCAAAGCCAGCCTGGGCAGGAAAGTCCATGAGACGCTTGTCTCCAATTAACTACCAGAAAACCGAAAGTGGCACTGTGGCTCAAGTGGTAGAGCACTTGCCTTGAGCTGAAGAGCTGAGGGATGGTGCCTGGCCCAGAGTTCAAGCCCTACAACCGACAAACAAATGAAAATAAATACAAAATAAATTAATACAGTATATACACTTATAAATACCTTTATATATGCACGGACATCAGTGAAGGAAGAAATATTAGAGTGTTAAATTATATTTGCATGTAATAACATAAACAGCTTTAAGATTACTTTTATTTTTAAATTATATGTATTTGTACATATTACATGTAACATTTCATTATATGTATATAATAAGCAATTATTACACCAAGGTACTTGGCATATAACAGATAGGTTATCATGTCTGGAGTAACAACCTCAAACATACTCAGTTTCTTTTGGGAACATTGGATATTTGTTCTCCCAGGTCATGGTGATTGAACTCAGGGCCTGGGCATTGTCCCTGAGGGCTTTTGCTCAAAGGTAGTGCTCTACCACGTTGAGCCATCACTCCCCTTGTGGTTTTTGAGTGGTTCATTGGAAATAGATTCCTCAAAGGGACTTTTCTGCCTACACTGACTTTGAACCTCAACCTTCAAATCTCAGCCTCCTTAGTTTCTAGGATTACAGACATGAGTAGTGGTACCTGGCCATTAATCATTTTGAAGTATAGCTGTTTTGAAATATTTAATTGTTGCTAACTATAGCTATCCTTACTCTGGTATAAAATATTTAGAAGTTATTCATCCTGGTATATTTAGAAATTATTCCTGGTACAAAATATTTAGAAGTTACTATTTCTGACCAACTACATCCAAGAACACATTAACCATCCCTTCTCTATCCCTCCCCTAATAATAACACAAGATAATTGACATAATAGTTTTGAAAGAGTAGTTTTAAAGAATAAGTGATATAATGGTTCCTGTCCCAGTACATGCATTCCTGTGTGTATGTGTGCGTGCGTGTGTGTGCGGGTGCGTGTGTGCACATTCAGGGAAACATTCAGGGAAAACTGTATCAAAAGCTAATGGTGAAGAAAAGCATTATTTCCCAATTTGGGGCCACAATACATAGCAGACATGGTCTGCAGAGATATAGATTGTTACATTTGTTGCAAAATGCTGACATTGTGATCATTAGTTTAATTTGAAACAAAAATACTAGTACATTAATAAATGGAACACAATGAATACAAAAAGCTTTGCAGATACTGTTACTAGCAAAGCACATGTTCAACAATATACCAAATAAAAATTTGTTTCCATAGCTAATTTTAATTTATTAATGAGTGAAATGACACTGATTTTATTTTTTTCTCTTAGGATTCCTCTAGTAGTGAAGAATCTGATGATTCATCAAGTGCCGTCAAAAGGAAAAAGCATAAAGAGTACGCCATATTGTAACTAAGTTCCTACTGATTTTCTTTTAAAAATAGTCCCCAAATCTGTTTTGTAAAATTTTCTCTTTTAGTATTTTGCAAGTTAATTTAAGCCATTGGTCCGTAACATTTATCCTTCAGTGACCATCTGGGATATTAATGCCAATTCCTTATTTCCTACAACTTTTCCTTCTATATGTTTATAAAATTTAAAAATCTATTTAAAATAATACCAAAATACAATATTAAAAGTTTCGTAACTTGGAAGACATAGGCATTAAGGGCTACAAGATGACTGATTTGGTTTTTATTAATTTTCATTACTGTTTTCTACACATGAAATTAACATTATCTGCAGAACTTAAGTAGAAACTCATTGTAGTTATCTACAAATCTTGACCCAGATACTATGAAGAGTAGATCACACTCTGAAATTGCATATATTTAGAAGGGTTTGGTTTTCCTCTCATTTTTATTTATCTTTTCTTTATTTCTTTCCTTCATCTCTTCCCTCCCCTCCTTTTTTTTTTTTTTTTTTGGCTAGTCCTGGGTCTTGAACCTGTGGGCCTACGCTCTGTCCCTAAGATCCTTTTGCTTAAGGCTAGAACTTTACCACTTGAGCCACAGTACCACTTTTGGCTTTTTCAAAGATTAATTGGAGATAAGAGTCTCACCGACTTTCCTGCTCAGACTGGCTTTGAACTTTGATCCTCAGATCTCAGCATCCTGAGTAGGATTACAGGCACGAGTCACTAGTACCCAGCCTGATTTAGTAGCTAAACTTAGCATGGATATAGCAAATAACATTTTATAAAAATGAGTTATTTGAGCTAATAGATAGGTTTGCTTAGATATAAAATCTATCATTTGGTACACCCATGGCTTATGCCTATAATCCTAGCAATTCAGGAGGCTGAGATCAGAGGATTGTGATTTGAAGCCACCCTGGGCAGGAAAGTTTATGAAACTCTTACCCAAGTTAATCACAAAAAAATCTAGAAAGTGGAGCAGTCTTTCAGTTAAACTTGTTTGCATTTATGCCTTCAATGTAGTCAAAATTATTGTTAAGAGAGGCAGAGCAATGGAAGAAAAACAATGCTAAAGTAGGCTAGGCATACTGAAGTCTGAAATGCTTGGGGCCAGAATTATTTCAGTTTTAAAAATTAAGATTTTGGAATATTTCCACAGACTTGTTGCCTCTTGAAAGTCTCTAATGTAAAAATTCAGAATCTGAAACATGAGCACTGATGCGATCCTACGAATATTCCAAAATTTCATGCTTTCCTGTTAGGAATAGTTAATTGTAAGTAAAAGAATTACAGTGACTCATGCTTATAATCTTAGCTACTCAAAATGCTGAGATCAGAGGATTCAGGATTGAAGCCATACCTGAGCTGAAAAGTATTTAAACACCACCTCCAATTAGTCAGCAAAAAGCCAGATTGGAAAAAACATGAGTCTCTGGAAGGTCAGTCCCCAGTCTCATGGTCTTTCCTGCCTAGGCTGGCTTTCAGCCGTGATCCTCAGATCTCAGCCTCCTGAGTAGCTAGGATTGCAGGCATGAGCCACCAGTGCCCAGCTGAATTATAATCTTTTTAAAAATTGTTTTTTTAGTGATGGCAAGTCTACTATTCAAAAACTTAAGTCCATGACAGTCCTTTAAATTATCATATGCTTTCATCCAGAAAGAGCATCAAAACATCATTTGTTTGCTATTTATTTGAGGATTAACTAAATGATCATTAAAACTGGAGTTAAAAGAGAAGCCGGGCACTGGTGGCTCATGCCTGTAATCCTAGCTACTCTGAGGCTGAGAACCATGAAACTGATCTCCAATTAAACACCAGTGGTGTTGTAGCTCAAGTGGTAGAGCATTTGCCTTGAGCTGAAGAGCTAAGGGACAGCACCTGGGCCCAGAGTTCAAGCCCTACAACCTACTATTAAACAAACAAACAAAAAAAAAAGAGGATTCTGTGATGACTATTTCCCAGTGTTACTATATTAGTTATCTGGTGTTTTGTAATATGGGTGGAAGCAACAGTATTGTTTATAGCCAGTGGATTGTAATTTATCTGATTTGATCATATTGTATTTTATTAGTCACAGAATTTACTTGTGTATAAATAAATGTTTATGTTTTGTAAATTTCTATATAGTGAAGATTGGCAGATGTCTGGGTCAGGATCTCCATCTCAGTCTGGTTCAGATTCAGAATCTGAAGAAGAAAGAGATAAAAGTAGTTGTGATGAAACAGAATCTGATTATGAGCCAAAAAACAAAGTCAAAAGCAGAAAACCTCCAAGTAGGTGAGTATAGTATTTCCTGATGTGGAGCTAAAAATGATTGTTTAGGAAGGTTGTCTTTTTGTATATGATTACTCAAATTTTGTTTTATGACTGCTTATAAAACTTTGATAAAGACACTTTCGTTTGCTCTGGTTCTCACTAGATCTAAGTCAAAAAATGGAAAAAAGCTTCTTGGACAAAAAAAGAGACAGATTGATTCATCTGAAGATGATGATGATGAGGAAGATTATGATAATGACAAAAGAAGTTCTCGTCGACAAGCCACTGTCAATGTTAGCTACAAGGAAGATGAAGAAATGAAAACAGATTCTGATGACCTACTGGAAGTCTGTGGAGAGGATGTTCCTCAACCCGAGGAAGAGGAATTTGAAACAATAGAAAGGTTTATGGATTGTCGTATTGGGAGAAAAGGAGGTATTTTGAAAAGACATTTTACTGTTTGTTTCAGTCACATTTACCTAGAGTATTGTAAGATGTTTCTTGAAAATTTTTCAATTTTAAAAACTAATAGCTTTGGCTTTTTTACTATTTTACTTTTTTAATATAAAACTACTTTGTTTAGTCCCTGATATTTCTTCACAATGTCAATATGACTGTATATATCTTACATTTTGGATTTTTAATTTCTGGTTTATGATTTAGTATTATACACACTTAGCTGGTATTTAAGGATTTTGGATTTCATAAGGGTTTTGGTTTCTGAAAAATTTTTCCCTTACATCTTAAATATATTTATCTTGTTATCTTGATATAGTGTTAAAAGATAACTTGAAATTGAAACAATTAAAATTTTCCATCTGCCTCATATTCACATATAATTTTAAGGAGTCCACTTCAGTTTGAAATCCTTTTTCCTAATTTTAAAACTGAGATTAGTTTATTTCTAAAAATCTCAGGGTCTCTTTTTTTTTGGTTATATGTAACAATTTTCCCTGAGAGTTGATCTTTTTCAAAGAGTATTTTTATATTTACATTATTGAAACTGAGTTGAAAGGATAATCTTGCAATAGAGTTACCTTATACTTCCCTTTTTAGCTACTGGTGCTACTACAACCATATATGCAGTTGAAGCAGATGGTGACCCCAATGCAGGATTTGACAAAAACAAGGAACCAGGAGACATCCAGTATTTAATTAAATGGAAAGGATGGTCCCATATCCACAACACTTGGGAGACAGAAGAAACTCTTAAGCAACAAAACGTTAGAGGAATGAAAAAATTGGATAATTATAAGAAAAAAGATCAGGAAACAATACGATGGTAAATATACTACATGCCATATGGCATTATGAAGCAATTTCAATAAAAAAAGGATAAGAAGTTTTAAGGATCAATTTACAGCCTGTTCATTTGTGCTTTATTTCTTATCAAGGTAGAAGCTCTTAGGTGTAATCATAACCTCTTTTTGATTGCCTCATGCATTATATTGCAAATTGGAAAGTTTAAATTTATGGTTTATTTCTTTTTAATTTCTTTCTTGTTCAAACTTAATTAAAATGATCAACTGTCAAAATGGGATACCTTGTGCTGTAGATAATATCTGGAAGGAAAAGTTAGAGAAAATTTTGAAGGCTGTTCCTGGATTAAAATTTTACAGGTTGAAAAATGCTTCACCAGAAGATGTGGAATACTATAATTGCCAGCAAGAACTTACAGATGATCTACATAAACAGTATCAAATAGTGGAGCGTATAATTGGTTAGTATTGATGGATTCTGACAAAACATTATTTAGTTTAGTTTGTTTTGAGATGTATATTGCTATGTTGTCCATGCTGGCCTTGTATTTGGCAGTCCTTCTGCCTTAGCACTCTGAGTAGCTAGTATTATAAACTTACCCCACCAAGATTTTTACCTTTTCGTACTTGAAATCTATCTAAACATCAGAAATTAACTGTTTGCACATCAAATATAGTAGTAGCTTACTCTGACTAAAATAAAGTAATTGTGAAGTAGTTCACTAATTTTTATTAATGTGTCTTCTAAGAATTAGTAAACCATAATCTCTCAGATTAAATGTAAATAAAATAATACCTGGTTTCTTTTCATAGCTCATTCCAATCAAAAGTCAGCAGCTGGTTATCCTGATTATTATTGCAAGTGGCAGGGCCTTCCATATTCAGAGTGCAGCTGGGAAGATGGAGCTCTCATTTCAAAAAAGTTTCAAGCATGTATTGATGAGTATTTTAGCAGAAACCAATCAAAAACCACTCCTTTTAAAGATTGCAAAGTAAGTATTGTTTGCAATTTTAAATTAATGAAATGTGCTTATATATCTTAAATAATACTTTAAGTATAGATAGAGATGAATCTTAATTTCAGACAGACTGAGAGTATTTTTTGATTAAAAGGTTTTAAGGAGGTGAGGATCCTCTTCATTGCTTTGTCATACTAGAACCAACATTGTTTTTATTTAAGGTAAATGATAGTCTAAGAAAGATGTTCAGTTGGTGATGGCTGTAGATGTTCAATCATGCATAGGGATTGTTTGGATACTAGAGGTGTCTGTTTGATTTGAAAGGTAGTACATATTTTCTCCTAAAGTAGGAAAAAAGAGAGACTTATAAGAAAGTATTCAGGACTACCTTAACTAATAATGTTGAGATTTTGCAGATTATATGGAAATATTAGTGGTATGATTTTATGGTTGTTGGAGCTACTGAGGATTTGACTGAATGTATGCCAACGTTGAGTTAATCCTCTGCTCTTCTGTTTTTGAGGTTAGGCTTAACTTTGCCTGGGCTGGATTTGAACTCGGCAATCCTATCTTTACCACCCAAATAGCTAGAATTACAGGAATGTGACCTGACACCTATCTCAAGATACAAGTGATAGCTGTTTTTTTTTCTTTTGGTCAGTCATGGGACCTGAACTCTGGGCCAGGGCACTGTCCCTCAGCTTTTCAGCTCAAGGCTAGTGCTCTATCCCTGGAGCCACAGCACCACTTCCGGCTTTTTTTGCTTAGGTGGTGCTGAGGAATTGAACCCAGGGCCTCATACATGCAAAGCAAGCACTCTACCACTGAGCCACCTTCCCAGCCCACAAGTGATCGTTTTTTGTTTGTTTTTCCAGTCCTGGGGGCTTGAACTGAGGGCCTGGGCACTACTCAAAGCTAGCACTCTACCACTTCAGCCACAGCAGTACTTCTGGCCTTTTCTGTGTATGTGGTACTGAGGCATTGAAACTAGGGCTTCATGCATGCTAGGGAAACACTCTACCACTAAACCACATTTCCAGCCTTAAGTGATAGTTTTGTTTTTGTTTTTCTCCCATGTCAGTCTGGGGCCTGAACTCTGAGCTTGGGAGCTGTCCCTGAGCTCTTCAGCTCAAGGTGAGTGCTATACCGCTTGAGCCACAGCACTACTTCCATTTTTCTAGTGGTTAATTGGAGATAAGAGTCTTTGAACCATGATCCTCAGATCTTAGCCTCCTGAGTAGCTAGGATTACAGGCATGAGCCACTATTATTAAAACTTATTGTTGTAAGATTGAATTAAATTGACCATGCTGTTTTGAAATCAAATTGAATGGAAAACTCCAATCTTACTGTTTGCTTCTAAGTTGAGGCCAAAGCAGTGGTGATGCATGATTGAATATCTTTGTGAAATATATAATGCTCGTATATATTGGCAGATACGTTATTTTCCAAATTTTGTTTTGTTCAAAGAAATGACCAAGTATTTCACTGAATTCTTGCTAGAGTCAGAGAAAATGGGGTATTTGACCAAATCCTCAAATGTATTATGTTTTGTGCTTTTTTGCGTGTTTTTGAGACAGACCAGGTTTTCTTGTATAGCCCAAACTGATCTTGTCTTTCAATATTCCTACTTCTGGAGAAGAATAGACATACACCAGCACACTTAGCTTATCAAATGTATTTTCAGTCATAAAATGTCTGAATGGACTGGGAAGGTGGCTCAGTGGTAGAGTGCTTGCCTTGAATGCGTGAGGCCCTGGGTTCAATTCCTTAGTACCACATAAACAGAAAAAGCTGTGGCTCAAGTGGTAGAGTGCTAGCCTTGAGCTGAAGAGCTGAGGGACAGCGCCCAGGCCGAGTTCAAGCCCCATGGTTGACCCCCCAAAAAAGTCTGAAATGATGACTCAGGATGAAGTATTAAAAAGTTTATAGTGAAAGCTGAGATTTTCATTGTGTATTATAGTTGCTTAAATTCTGTAACTATATCATTTATTTCTACTAAAGGTATTAAAACAAAGACCAAGATTTGTCGCACTGAAGAAGCAGCCATGCTATATTGGAGGACATGAAGGTTTAGAATTAAGAGATTATCAGCTGAATGGTTTAAATTGGCTTGCTCACTCTTGGTGCAAGTAAGTATATTTTGAATAACAAACTTAATTTGAGATAATAAGATTTTCCCTTCCCACCTCAGATAACTAAGTTGAATATTTAAAGGTAAATCCAATTAGCAGTCTTCCCTCAATACTCACCCAGTGGTGACCCCATGATGGAGCAGGAAAGGTCCCAGAGACCACACTAAAACAAACCAGTATTTCCTGAAGTAGTTTCTTTAGTGGATTGCCTAGAACCTCTTTAGGCTATACAAAAAGTACTAAATCTTTCATTATTTCATTTTATTTGTTTCTTCATCTTAGCCCATAATTCTTCAGCTTAAAGAATATCAGATTTCACTTATGAGTAAGCTGCTAAACATAATGAAAAATCACAATAATTTTCAGTTGAAAAGTATTTGAGAGGTTTTAAGATGTTTTCTTATGATCTTCAAATCTTGCTCTAAGATGTCAGCAGTTCCTTGATACTGGAATATAGACCTTGATAGATGAAATGTGTTTCTAGCACTATTCTAATGTATTACTGTAGGCTGCAATAGTCAGTGGACTAAAAGCAAGTTAAGGAGTTAAGAGATTTGGGATTTAGATCCACCAATATCTCTTTGTAAATTCAGTTTTTCTGATTGTTAATTTCTTCATCTTTTCAAACTTTTCAAGGCTTTTTTGTCCCTTTGCAGAGTACCACCAGTTTTGCTAACTAGGAAATTATTCTCATTTACAATTGTGAAGAAATCTGTTGGAGAAATCCATAAGCAGTGAGGGTAAAAGCAGCTGACTTCTTTGTGTCTGCCATCTTCCAGCTATGTAGGCAGAAAGGAAGGATGAGGGAAGTGATGGGCAGTGGATTTAGAGAGTGGCAGAAAGAATAAAAATTTTACAGGGCTGGGAAGGTGGCTCAGTGGTAAAGCGCTTACCTTGCATGCATGCCTTGGTTCGATTCCTCAGCAACACATAAGCAAAGAAAAAAAAGCTGGAAGTGGCTCTGTGGCTCAAGTGGTAGAATGCTAGCCTTGAGCTGAAGAGCTGAGGGACAGTGCCCAGGCCCAGAGTTCAGGCCCGATGACCGGACCCAAGAAAAAAAAGAATAAAAATTTTACAAATAATTTCCAATAACATAAAGGCTAAGACCTTTTGGCATTTTCTTTGTATTAATCCTAACTTGTATAAATAGTAACAGGAAGGAAATCCAATGGTGTTTGAATTTATCTTGTTGCTGTTCCTAAAAAATATTCAACTTAAAAATCACACATGCTTATCGAATCCACAGTAATTTCTAATAATGGTTTAGACCTCCACCTCTCCCCATCCTGGGTGGTCCCCACTCTTGAGAGTATAGGCAACTTCCTTCCTTCCTTCCTTCCTTCCTTCCTTCCTTCCCTCCCTCCCTCCCTCCCTCCCTCCCTCCCTCCCTGGGCCTGGGAACTGTCCCTCAGCTCTTTAGCTCAAGGCTAGCACTCTACCACTTGAGCCACAGCGCCACTTCCGGTTTTTTTTCCTTGCTTATGTGGTGCTGAGGAATCAAACCCAGGGCCTCATGCATGGAAGGCAAGCGCTCTACCACTGAGCCACCTTCCCAGCCCGTATAGGCAACTTTCTACAATAAACTTTACTTACCAGTTTCACCTATGTGCTCGCTAGATAACCTTTTACTCATTTAGTATGTCTGGTCTCTACTTCTGTCAGGTGAATGGTAGTATTGGCTTCATAATTGATTAAGGACAGTACTGTTGATCTTTAATACCTCTGGCCTACCATAGTGTAAAACCCTAATTTTCCTATAATGTTACTGATTTCATCTTTAGCCAGATTATTTTAGTTGTTAATTGTAGCTAATAAAATGACATGTTATATAATTCTATATATGTCATATAAATGGTTGTACATGATATTAAAAACTTTTGTGTATTGAAGCCTTTGTTTCATACATAAATTTTTTGTTTAACTTTATAGAGGAAATAGTTGTATACTTGCTGATGAAATGGGCCTTGGAAAAACAATACAGACGATCTCATTTTTGAACTACTTGTTTCATGAACATCAGTTGTATGGACCTTTTCTACTAGTTGTTCCACTTTCTACTTTAACTTCCTGGCAAAGGGAGATTCAGACGTGGGCTTCTCAAATGAATGCTGTCGTTTATTTAGGTGACATTAATAGCAGAAACATGGTAAGACATTTCTTCTCAAAATAGAAGTCTAGACATACTTTTTTTAAAGAATGCATATTATGTCTTTTGTTTGGTCTAGCATACCAGAATAAGTACAATAGTCCATGTTTAATTGGTGTAGTAAAATTCAAATTTAGTTCAGTATTTATATGTGTATGTGATTTTCTTTTTCTTTTATGTGGGTCATTAAATGAATTAGCTGTTACGTTTCATTAAATGAGAACTCTTTAGTAGAAAATACGTAGTAAAATGGTTTGCTTAATTTTTTTTAAAAGTTTAATATGTTGGGGTGTTTACATTTTATGATAAAATCAACAGCATCTTATATAAAGAATAATTCATTTGTTACATGAACATGTATATAGGGTCTTGAGTATTTTGAATGCCTTTTTAATTTAGTTGATATACATTTTAAGTAGAAGGATACTTTTTTTTTTAATTTCTTTTTATATTGTCCTGAAATTTTCTTCATAGATAAGAACTCATGAATGGATGCATCCCCAGACCAAACGGTTAAAATTTAATATACTTTTAACAACTTATGAGATTTTATTGAAGGATAAGGTATGTATAACCTGTGTTTGTTTAGTATTAATCAATTTTCCTATACTATATGTTGTAAAAAGGATGAAAAGACACTTAAATCTTTTTTACACACTTCTTTATGGTCCTTGAGCTAAGAATATTCATTACGTTTTTTTTTTTTTTTTTGGATCCAGTCGTGGGGCCTGAACTCTGGGCCTGGGCACTGTCCCTCAGCTCTTCAGCTCAAGGCTAGCGCTCTACCACTTGAGCCACAGTGCCACTTCTGGCTTTTTTCTTTTTGCTTATGTGGTGCTGAGGAATCGAACCCAGGGCCTCTGGCATGCAAGGCAAGCGCTCTACCACTGAGCCACCTTCCCAGCCCTATTCATTACATTTTTGAAACTTTCAAAAGATTGAATAAGAAGAATGTGATAGAGACTACTTACTGGGCTACAATGTCTAAAATATTTTTTGCCCCTTTATAAAAAAGTTTTTGAACTCTTAAATGAATGTCTGTTAATGCTTGTTGGTTTGTAAGAAGATGTCTAACATGTTTAAATGGCCACTGTGTGAAACATCATATACTCTAAGTGCTATATAGCTACTGTGTTATTTAAATATTCCTTCAACTTTATAAGACACTTGCTATTTCTGCTGTATTGAAAAGAAAAATTCTGAGTTTAATGACTATGCCTAAGGTCACACAGCTAGTAAGTAGCAGAGTCAGACTGGTGGTATAAGTCAGATACTGAAATTTATATATTAAGAATCTGTAGTCCATAAAAGTGGTGCAATGAATTACACTGTACTTGAAGTATGACCATTCCAAGTTGACATTGTAATAGACTCTTACATAACTTAGGGTAAAAGGTTTTTGTTAATTTCTAGTTGTGATACAAGTTTTCTTTCCTGCCAGTACTAAGAGTAAAAGTTTGAATTGAGCCAGGTTCTGGTGGCTCACACCTGTAACCCTAGGTAGTCAGGAGGTCTAAAGATCAGTGTTTGAAGTTAGCTTCGTCAGAAAAGTTCATGAGACTTGTATTTTTAGTTAACCATCAAAAGTTGGAAGAGGATCTTTGGCTCATGTGGTAGAATACTAGCCTTGAGCACGGAAAGCTGAGGAGCAGTGCCTAAACCCTAAGTTCAATCCTCAGGATCTTGAGTTTATATTATATATTTTCTCATGGCCAAAATTAGTCATAAAGCTATACTTTTTCAGAGTGAATTTCTTGATTTGAAGGTTTTAAAAAATACTTAATAATTTTTCTTTGAAATTTAGAATTTTTTAAAGTTTTAATTTCTCCCATCTTTAATCCTCATAAAATTGAGATCAAATGGGAAGGGTAAACTTGAATTTCATTGTTCTCTCAAAATATTAACATTGTCCTTCTGTTTTTAAGGCATTCCTTGGTGGTCTAAATTGGGCATTTATAGGTGTTGATGAAGCACATCGATTAAAAAATGATGATTCCCTTCTATATAAAACTTTAATAGATTTTAAATCTAATCATCGCCTCCTTATCACTGGAACACCGCTACAAAACTCCCTCAAAGAGCTGTGGTCATTGCTACATTTCATTATGCCAGAAAAGTAAGACAAACTTGGGATATGCAGTTGTATAATTATTTAGCAAGCTAATAATGTTCAGTGTGGGGGCGGGAATAGCGTGATTAATGTCTGTAAGTGGTTTTATTTTTCTAAAATACTATATTACACATTACTGAGAAGGAAAAGAAAAAATGGAAGGGATAATGTTGCAGAATTTTAAATTGGAATTTTAAAAGTTTTATATATAGCCACATACAGTAAATTACAACAGTTGATTTTTTTTCACATATCCAGCATAAACTTTGGAAAACTAAAGTAATACCATTTTAATATTTAATAATAGCAGTTACTACCACCACAAGGCACTGATAATCCATTTCTGTAAGTGAGGAAAATTAGAGAAAGGTTACTAACTTTTGTATATAGTTTTTTGTTTTTGTTTTTGTTTTTTGATCCGGTTGTGGGGCCTGAACTCTGGGCCTGGGCGCTGTCCCTCAGCTCTTCAGCTCAAGGCTAGCACTCTACCACTTGAGCCACAGCACCACTTCCAGCTTTTTTATTTTTGCTTATGTGGTGCTGAGGAATCGAACCCAGGGCCTCAAGCATGCAAGGCAAGTGCTCTACTACTGAGCCACCTTCCTAGCCCCTTGTATAAAGTTTTGAGAAAAGTTTTTGAGGCAAATTCTATACTTGCAGATACTTCATTTAAATTGAGAGTAATCATAATTTAGAAAACCACTTATAGTTCATTAGAAATTACTAATTTTAGGTCTCATACAATTTGACTTTTTATTTCAGTATTGTTTTCACTAAGCCACACTCCCAGTTCTGTTTCATTATCTTAAATATCTTAAATTTTAAAGGTTTTCTTCTTGGGAAGATTTTGAAGAAGAACATGGAAAAGGGAGAGAATATGGTTATGCAAGCCTCCACAAGGAGCTGGAGCCATTTTTATTACGTCGCGTTAAGAAAGATGTAGAAAAATCTCTTCCTGCCAAGGTTGAGCAGATTTTAAGAATGGAAATGAGTGCTTTACAGAAGCAGTACTACAAGTAAGCTGTATACAGTATACATGTTCCGAACATTTAGCTCTGAATTAAATTTCTTATTCTTAACTTGAAGCCCCACAAATACGGTCTTAAGAGTAGCAGCAAATCTTAAGGTTTAGCCTAAGTTTATTCTTGCCAAAGAAAAAAGATTTAATCTCTAGTCCAAGATCGAATAATTCATTGTGTGTATGTGTGTGTGGTGTGGGCATGCGCGTGTACATGCACACCCTGTTCCATTTCAGGGCTTCAATGCAGCACCTTATGCTTGCTCCGCTTATTTGTTTGGCTAGCACCCTACTACCTGAACCATGCCTCTAGCCCTGCTTTTTGCTAATTATTTGGAGATGGAGTCCAGTGGGCTTTGTGTCTTCTCAAAGACATCCTCCTGAGTACATTTTTTGGGGACATTTTTTATTGTAAAACTGTACAGAGGGGTTACAATTACATGAGCAAGATAACAAGTACATTTCCTATCAAACATTGTTACCTTCTCCTTTGTTTTTCCCCTACCATTTCTTCCCTCCCACTTCCACAACACCCCCCCCCCCAAATTGTCTCCTGAGTACATTGACCAGCTTAATTTTGTGTTTTTAATTTAGGATTTCTGTGGCACTAAATTATTATGTAATTGTGCTAAGTGACAGAGGTAAAAAAAGTAGGTCTAAAAAGAATTTTAGACTTCATTTTTTGAAGAGCATTAACAAGTCATATTTTTATAAGTTTTATGTCAGTCTGTATGGTTACAATTATATTTTTGTTTCTGTTTTTTTGATCCTGGGGCTTGATCTCAGAGCTTGAGTGCTATCCCTGAACTCTTGCTCAAGGCTAGCCCTCTACCACTTTGAGCTACGGTGCCACTTCAAGTAACAGTTTTTAGTGTCAAGAAAGGAAAATAAATACTAAAACCTATTCATAGTATAACAGCATGAATTAGATACATTGCTACAAATGTCTGGTGTCTCAGAGCCACTTATATTTTATGGCGAAAAATATGTAAGTCATTACAAATAGCTCCAGTGGCATAGTACTTGCCTAACAAGTAGAGGGCCCAGTGTTTAAACCCTTATGCTGACAAAAAAAATTCTGTAAGCACCATAAGTTTAGAAACATATTCTGTACGTCTTGGGTTTTTTTTCAACTTCATTTCTTTCATCTCTATATCCTCAAATTTCTTTTGCTCCCTCTTTAAAATTATCCTATATTACTTGTACAAAGAGGTTTCATTGTATTTGCATACATGTGCATAATGAACTTGGATCATATTTGGATTTATTTTAGTAGATTTCAGTATACTTTCCGGTCCGGGGGCCTGAACTCTGGGCTTGGGTGCTGTCCCTCAGCTCTTCAGCTCAAGGCTAGCGCTCTACCTCTTGAGCCACAGTGCCACTTCCGCTTTTTTCTTTTTTTGCTTATGTGGTGCTGAGGAATTGAACCCAGGGCCTCATGCATGCAAGGCAAGCGCTCTACCACTGAGCCACCTTCCCAGCCCCTTCAGTATACTTTTTATTATGGATGTTTTTACATTTCATTATACTATTTTCATGCACATATACAATGTACAATTATCACTGTCTCTTTTAACCATCCTACTGGATTCCTCTCCCCAAACAATCCTCCTTTTCACATTAATGTTTACCACACGCGCGCGCACGCGCACACACACACACACACACACACACACACACACACACACCTACATTCAACATTTGGGAGAAAAACATGGAGCACTTTTCTGCCACTTCGTTTGACCATCTCAGATTAGTTTTATCCATAAATATTATATCTATAAAATTTTTTGTGTATCTTAATTGGTATTTAAGTATACTGTATCCAGCCAGGCATTATAGTTCATATCTGAAATCCTTAGCTCCTTAGGAGTCTGAGATTAGAAAGATTACAACAAAAGTTAGTGAGCCTCCATCTCAACTAGTTAAAATTGTGGGCATAATGGCATATACCTGTCATTCCAGCCACACAGGGTGAATAGGATTTTTTTTGTCCAGGCCAATATGGACAAAAAGAGAACCCTATTCAAAAATAATGAAGACATAAAGGGGTAGAAGTAGTAGAGGGTCTGACTAGCAAAGATAAGGCCCCTGAGTCAAGCCCCATTCCCCTCAACTCACTGAAGTTAAATTAGTATAAATGTTCACTTTTGAAAAATAAGTGTTTGCTGTGTGCCTGTAATCCTAGTTGCTTGGGAGGCTGAGATCTGAGGATTGTAGTTCGGAGCCAGCCCAAGTAGGAAAGTCTGTGAGACTCTTATCTCTAATAAACTACTTGGAAAAATCTGGAAGTAGTGCTGTAGCTTAAGTGGTAGAGTGCCCAGGGAAAGCACCCAGGCCGAGTTCAAGCCTCAGGAATGGGGAAAAAAAAATCAGTATTCAATATCAATTTTCAAATTATCTCTACTGTCACAAACTTGTTTATTTTTAAGGTTGTGGGAGTGAAGATTGAAATAGCTCTTTCTGTGGTAATGTTTGCATTTTTAATTCTCTGACTTGCTATTTTTCTTGACAATCAATTGATAAGAAAATTGTGTAGATTTTTTTCTACAGCTTAGGTATTGTATATTTTGTGGTAAAGTATATCCCCTGTATTTCCTATAAATTGGAAGATATGTCTAGGTTCTTATTTAGATTTAGGTTTTCCTTTATAGAAAGAACATATTCTGTAATGCAAAATGGTGGTGTTTTAATTTGGTTGGTATGAGGTAGGTTTTAAAACACTTATTTGTGGAAAATTTGAAAATTGCAGAGAACTTGGAAATTTAGGGAAAATTTTGAAATAGAAAACATAGTTCCAGCCGGCCGTGGTGGCGCACGCCAGTAATCGAGGAGGGTGAGGTTAGGAGGATCACGAGTTCGAGAAAACATAGTTCCTCTATTGTTCTCCCTGGTGTTCATGTGCTGCAGACCTCAAACATTAGATCCGTTAGGTAAAGCAACAAGATATTGCCATAAATCTGTAGAATTTAGAATGTCACTCGTTAGAAAAATCTTAGAAGAAATTCTACATGGGGAGAATAAACTTTAGTCTTTATTACCTATTACAGCATTGAGCATTTCCCACAAACATTTTACATTTTAGTCCAGGTATAGCGAGATATGCTTAGTAATGAACCAGTAGAAAATAATGGCAATACAAAATAAATAAATATTTGCCGGCTGCCAGTGGCTCATGCTTATAATCCTAGCTACTTTAGGAGGCTGAGATCTGAGGATCACTATTCAAAGCCAGCCCCAGCAGGAAAGTGTGTGAGACTTGTCTCTAATAAACCACTAGAAAACCAGAAGTGGTGCTGTGCTCAAGCAGTAGAGCCTCGTCTTGAGCTGGAGAGCAGAGGGATAGTGCCCAGACCCAGAGTTCAAGCCCCACAACCAGCCAAAAAAAAGAGAGAGAAAATAATAGCAATAGAAGACTATATATTTATACATTAAGTACTTAAAAATTTCCGTGCCTCTTCAATGATGAATTTGTAAGAAGGAGAAGAATCGAAGTTGCAGTAGAAAATAAAGTAGGTTCTGGTGAGAAGAATATATGTCGTTTGAGATACTAAAACAGCACCATTTTTTCCCCTGATGGTTGTATATTTTGTAATTGCAATTTACAAAAGACAGAACAGCTAAAGGCAGGTGTCTTCTGGAAGGTTTCTTTCAAGTCTGTGAAAAATAATTTCAGTAGCTATTTTTAATGTAAAATTGATAAAGTTAAGGTATATGACTTGGGAAAAAGGGATTGATATGCTTTATTTACTATGTGTGATTGTTCAAATAACAAGTTATATGTTGCTATGTATCATGAATCAGGCTTAGTTTGTTGTATACCAAATAAGATAGTGCAGTTTTGATTGGGTACTAGCTTTCGTTTTTACAATTTTAGAATTTAACGTGGTGATTGTTGTACTGAATGTAATCTATAATTTTTTTTTAAGATGGATTTTAACTAGGAATTACAAAGCCCTCAGCAAAGGTTCTAAGGGCAGTACCTCAGGCTTTTTGAACATTATGATGGAGCTAAAGAAATGTTGTAACCATTGCTACCTCATTAAGCCTCCGGATAATAATGAATTCTATAATAAACAAGAAGCCTTACAAGTAAGAAGTTTTAAATGTTATTACTTTTTCAGTAAATCGAATCTTAGAAATGTGTATTTCAGTTTTAATTGAAAAATGTCACTTTTAATTGAAAAGTGCTTTTAATATATATTCACTAGAAGTTTTATTAAAATTATTTCCATTTAAGTCATAGTCTTTAGTACATTTTAGTCTTTAAGAAAAGCTGAAAAATTTTAGCTTAGTATCTGGCTACTCCTTTCTTCCTGGATGCTTGTTATTTTGGAGAAATAGTATAACTACAAGATAGAGTGAAACTGTATCTTTTCCCCTTTAAAAATGCAAGAACCTATGTATTAAACATGTAATAACTTTTACCTTATGTAATAGAGCAAAACAGAAATGGCCTATAAATTTCTGAAATTATTTAAATTTCCAACATTATGAAAATTTTGAAATAGCAATTTAGAATAAAGCTGTTAAAATATTAGGTGTTCCACCTTAATAATTCATTAGGTGTTCTACCATATAATTTGCTTTTCATATGTAACAGTTTTAAATAATTATTTTTTAGCACTTAATCCGTAGTAGTGGAAAATTGATCCTTCTTGATAAATTGTTAATTCGTCTAAGAGAACGGGGCAATCGAGTATTAATTTTTTCTCAAATGGTGCGGATGTTGGATATACTTGCAGAATATTTAAAATATCGTCAGTTTCCTTTTCAAGTAAGTAATTCTTTTTGTTAATTTCAGTCTAATTAAGTATGTTTGGCATAAAAATTATAGTTGTCATTGATCATTTTTCTTTATATTCAACAGCAAAGCAGTATTTATTTTCTGTTGAGTTTTTGTTTTCTTTTATTCTTCTTTTCTATGTTTACTTTAGATTTTATAAATTAGACTAAGGCATGATTTTTTCTATGGTGGAAGAAATCTAAATGGGGAACCTTATGAGTTAGGAATTAGGATTATATCTAAGTATAGGAAAGGGCAGAATACATGGATGCCAGGATTATTGCAGGTTTAGTGACTAATGTATTTGTACTTACTTTGATACACAGTTTTTTGAATAAAGCCAAACCATAGCAGGCTCATATTCCATCTATCCATTCAGTGCAATTAAATCTAACATTGATGAGTGTTCAGTTTTAGCATTCGATGTAATTCTCAGTACTTCATAGAAAATGATTTATTTCTTAGAATAATTTTTTGAGCAGTGCTGAGAGCATCACAAATACTTAGTATACACAGCTTGTAAGTTGTAAATGTTTGGTGCAGACAGAATAGGAATACTCAACCCCTATAATTTTTACTCAGTCTGTCTCTAACACAGGTACTTAAAAATGAATGCAAACATTACAACTATTACAATAACTGTTTGGTAAAAGTAACATTTTAATGGAATATTTTAGTCATAATAGTTTAATAACCCTACATTATCTAGATTATCTATTTTTATGAAATATGTTCATCTTACTGTATAACAACTCCAGTTCTATGAAGGATAGGTGTTTGGTAAGAACATGATCAAGAAATGTATAAATAATAAGAGAAAAAGTAGAATAATCTCATTATTTTGAATTTTGAGGGTTTAAATTTTTTTTAATATAGCAGCTTTGAGATTTAATTTCTGTGCCCATACAGTGCTTCACTTAAGCTAACTATCATAGATAGATATCTCCATGACCACAATCAATTTTAGAAGATTTTCATCACCTTGGAAACCATTATGTAATCTTGGCTACCCTTGCCTTTTCTGTTCCATTCCCCTTCTTCCCTGTTATCCCTGTATTAGATTGTTTTTAAATAAGATGCCTTGTGTGTGGTCAAATCGGAAAACAGTATAACAAACAGAACTTATAAAGCACCAGTCTCTGCTCCAAATCCCTTCTCATTACTAGCTTATTTCCCAGAGAGAACTAGTTTTCATTGGTGTTGTTTAAATAATGCCAGAATAAATAAGATACTGTTGATCTTAAGGATTGTACCAATCATAACTTTTAATGGAAAGGAAGTAATGTTATTTTCTTTCCAGTTTGACTACTTTTTCCCTACTTTGTGTAGGTGTCAGTTTAGACCATTTATAAACTACTGAGAAAAAAATTCTCTGAAACATTTTCTCAGTTTTCTCTTTACTGTTAAGATATGTAGAAATAGTAAGTTATTACTATTTTTAATTTAATTTTTATTTAACAAATGATTTATTATTTACTTACTTAATGTTTACTTTGAACCATAGCTTCATTTCCAGTTTTTTGGTGGTCAGAGTCTCATGGGGACTTTCCTTCCTGGGCTGGCTTTGAACTCTGAGTCTCAGATCTAAGCTTTCTAAGTTGCTAGGATTTCATGTGTGAGCCACCAGGGGCTGGCTACTTAAGCATTGTTGATAGTCTACTAAGTATGAACCATTACCTTGCAGTACGGGTGTATTAAGAAACACCTGATAAAAGAAACCAGTAGCATATTAAACAAAGAAAGGAAATCTAAACAGCATGTTATTAAATTAGCTGTCTTTTTTTTCTTAGTCATTAGAAGAAGGAAAACTAATCCCTGCCTGTTTAGCTTTAAAAAAGCATCATTGTTCTGCTATGTGGGGAGCTAATAGGGATATATTTTTTAACCTCCTTTTCATCAGGTCCCAAAAAACAATTTTGGTCTCCCCTGGAGCCCTTTGTCATACCTTAATGTTATCTTTCCAAAGTATTAAATCAGTCTGTCACTTAAGTAAATGAATCTGTGGATTGTATTGCCAAGTTATTTCTAGCCAGTTAATTATTTAAACCAACCCTCAACCAAGTTAAATAAACTTGGCATACTAAGTTAGCTAGTGTGATTATTACTGATTAATTTGGTAGAGCCTGCTGCAAAAAAAGAGCATATTCTTTCTTCTGTTTCCAAGTAAATAACCCACTAGCCTGATTTCCATGCTAATACAAATTTCCCTTAGAGACAGTCTTAAAATAAGTTAAAGGGCTTCTCTTAAAAATGGCGAATTGCCCACAAATTTACCTTTTCGTTTTCCAGAAAGTCCATCCAGAGCACTTGGGGTTAGGGAAAACAAACTTTCCAGGCCACAGGAATGAGGGGAAAAAAAATAACATCTGAATGGTAGAGAATAATAGTAAATGTTATAGAAATAGAATAATTTTAAAATATAACAAAATCTGAATGGTAGGAGGTTTTGTAGTAACAGATTTGGCAAGTCCAAGGAAGCTGAATAATAAACTCATCAGTAGAACAGTTTAGAAGTGCACTAATTTACATTGCAGAGTCATCAGAGTTTCAGGGATTCTTCTTTTTTTTTTTTTGTTGGTCGTGGGGCTTGAACTCTGGGCTTGGGTGCTGTCCCTGCACTCTAGCTCAAGATGAGCCCTTTACTGCTTGAACCACAGTGCCAATTCCAGTTTTTTAGTGGTTTATTGGAGATAAGAATCTCATGGGCTTTCCTGCCCAGGCTGGCTTTGAACTGCCGCCCTCAAATCTCAGCCTCCTGAGTAGCTAGGATTACAGGCATGAGCCACCAGTGCCCGGCTTTTCAGGGATTCTTGACTCTAGTATTTTGTAGAATATGGACAGGGCTGGGCTGGGAATGTGGCTTAGTGGTAGAGTGCTTGCCTAGCATGCATAAAGCCCTGGGTTCAGTTCCTCAGTACCACATAAGCAGAAAAAGCCAGAAATGGCGCTGTGGCTCAAGTGGTAGAGCGCTAGCCTTGAGCACAGAGAGGCTCAGGGACAGAGCCCAGGCCCTGAGTTCAAGGCCCAGGACTGGCAATAGATAGAGAGAACTAAAACAGATAAAATAAATCAAAGTTTTGGCTGAAAGTTTGTTTAAAATGATCGCCTATGTTTGTTTGTTTGTATCATTTTAAGGAATAAATTCATAATTACTAAAACTGTTCAGCCAACCAAAGACAAGTTTTGTTTTCCTTCTGATGATCAAAATCTGACCCAGAAGAAACTACTGCATGCCAGACAAGAATTCTACCATTGAGTTACATTTCACATTTTCCCCTCCCTCCCTCCCTCCCTCCCTCCCTCCCTTCCGTCCTTCCTTCCCTTTTTTTTTGTCATGGGGCCTGTACTCTGGGCCTGGGCTCTGTCCCTCAGCTCTTCAGCTCAAGGCTAATGCTCTACCACTTGAGCCACGGTGCCACTTCTGGCCTGTGGTGCTGAGGAATCGAACCCAAGGTCTCCTGCATGCAAGACCAGCACTCTACCACTGAGCCACCTTCCCAGCCGCACAACTCACATTTTTTCTTTTTTGGGGGGGGGGTCTGGTTGTGGGGCCTGAACTCTGGGTGTGGGCACTGTCCCTCAGCTCTTCAGCTCAAGGCTAGCGCTCTACCACTTGAGCCACAGCTCCACTTCTGGCTTTTTTCTTTTTGCTTATGTGGTGCTGAGGAATCGAACCCAGGGCCTCAGGCATGCAAGACAAGCGCTATACTACCTTCCCAGCCCCACAACTCACATTTTCTATTACAACCGTTTCCTGAGTTTTTCTTTTACTTATTGTAGATAGTTAATTTTATTCTAATTTTAATTTCCCTCATTTTTAGATGTACAGAAATGACCTTGGTTTCATTTATTTTATTTATTTTATTTTTTGGTCAGTTGTGGGGCTTGAACTCTGGGCTTTGGGCTTGTACGCAATCCCTCAGCTCTTCAGCTCAAGGCAAGCACTCTACAGCTTGAGCCACAGTGCCACTTATGGTTTTCTAGTGGTTTATTGGAGATAAGAGACTCATGGACTTTCCTGCCCGGGCTGGCTTTGAACTGAGATCCTCAAATCTCAGCCTCCTGAGTAGCTGGGATTACAAGCATGAGCCACCAGTGCCCAGCTCATTTATTAATATTGGAATGTTCATTACTATACCTATTATTTTTCATTATTGTTCTAATAGAAAGAGTGCAGCTAAGGAATTTCTTTTATTATATGATGAAGAATTTTCAGAGCTCCTTCAGGTTTTTCGTTTGATAGAGAATAATGATATCTCTGTTAGTAACCTACTTTTGGGAGTGAGCTGTACTGCGGCTAAAACTCAGGCTTTGCACTTGATAACTAGTTACTCTCTTGAGCTGCACTGGCTATGATATTGTACAGGCTATGATACTTAGTTCAGTTAATATGGAAAATATGAGTTCTTAACTGTACATTTTCGATACATGCATTTTCAGTTTAAAAATGCTTTTTTATTTCTGTTCATTGAGAATATCCAAAATTATCAACTACTTTAAAATTTTTTATGTCATAAAAATGCACAGGTTAGCATAGAACTTTCCAGAAAACTGATTTAATCTGTGATTTAAATGTGAGGATCCATGGATTGGAGTAACAAGTTATTACTAGTCTGTATCATATTGACAATTATGAAACAGTTGTTCATGATAATCTAAGTGAAAATAATAGTGTCTTCTCCCAACTTACTCTCCCACGCTGGCGGGGGATAAAACCCAGAGTCTCATTTCTCTGAGACAAAGCACTGTAAAACTGACCTACACTCCAAGGCCAATAGTACTGGATGTTTAGTATTGAGTGCCAAGAACTGTGCTGTATTTTTCCATGAATGTTCTGTAGTCTTTGAAGGAGACACTAGTATATTGGTGTTATTGAGAAAAAAATTTGGTAAGAGAAGAGTTGAATTGCTTGCCCAAGGCATCTACTATATAAGGTTCTCATGCATATTCTTTGACTAGAGTATATAATGCTTTCCAAAGTTTTCTATGCATAAGGATTAGCTGGAAGGCTTTTGCTTGCCTAGACCCTTCCCTTAAAGTTCTCATGCAATACTGATCTTGAGCAGGATTCTGGTGCTAATGATCTGGTTCTAATCACCAGTCTGTACTTAGTGTTTCTTGAGCTGCAAATTTAAACTTGATTTTAATTGCTTACTATTTTGATGTGTTTTATTCTAGAGATTAGATGGGTCAATAAAAGGAGAACTGAGGAAACAAGCTCTAGATCATTTCAATGCTGAGGGATCAGAGGTATGAATGATTTTAAAACCAAATTTTATATTAGTCACTGTATTGTGTAGTTATTTGTAGTTTGTTTCAGAGAACATCTTGTGGGGGCTAGCCAGTTTTTCTTAGCAAGTGAGATTTTAACGTATGATTTTTATTTTACATTCTGAAGAATTTTTAATATTTCAGCATAGCAGTTTGCTTCAAAGTAAATTAGGTCACTTTCACTAATCGTTTTTCCATTTGTGCCTTTTTGGTTTTAATACATAAAATTCACTGATGTAGTTAAGGCATTGTACCACCCCTGCTTAATTCTCCCATTTCATCAGAGGTAAACATTGTATAGAATTACCATATGGATTTGTATTTTAGTATCTTGCTAAGGTTTACAATTTAGTTATTTTTAATGCTGCCTTGTAGTTTTATAGTAAAACACTTTTTAAGTTGATATCATTTGTACATTTTCAGTTTGATTATTTGAACACAGCATAGAGGAATTTATAATCTTGTATTTTTACAATTTTTACAGGATTTCTGCTTTTTGCTTTCTACAAGAGCTGGAGGTTTAGGGATTAATTTAGCCTCTGCTGACACTGTTGTTATATTTGATTCCGACTGGAATCCACAAAACGATCTTCAGGCACAGGCAAGAGCTCACCGAATTGGGCAAAAAAAACAGGTATTTTTCATTTTTGTTACTATTTGGGAATCTTTTTTAGGAGTTTTTTTTAAAATGATTAATGTGTGGAATTAACCAAGAGTAATGGAGGATCACTAAAATACAGTCCTATTGCTATTTAATAAGTATGTAAGGAGGCAACCAAAATCATCCATAGCGAGCTGACAAAATTGTGAAAACTATGTTTAAATTAAGATCTTGTATTCTGCTTAGATTATGCATATTCTGTTCGTAACTGAAGAATGGAATGTTTTTATTTCATATAAAAACTTCAATGTCACCAGGTACTGGTGGCTTACACTTGTAATTCTTCTATCTTTGGAGGCTGAGATTAAAGAGGATTATGGTCTGATGCCATTCTGGGCAGAAAAGTCCATGAAACTGTGTACTGTTAACAGAAAAACTGTGCCAGATGTGTGACTTAACTGATCATACTTAAGTTAAATTGCAAAGTTTAAACCCTGATAATAGGAAAGCAAAACAAAACAAAAACCCTTTACCATCTTTGCTTATTTTATCTTTTGAGAATTTGAGTAGCACAGTGCTGATTTTCTGTTAATACATTAGCCCATGTTCTTATAAAATTCTAGACACATAAAAACCTAATTTCACTTAATATTTTCTTTACAACTATGTGGCACCACACTAACGCCACACTCAAATATGGTATTTTTATTTCTCTGACCAAGAAGGAAAAGGAAAATTTACTGTGCATTCATTATTGTCAATTTGGAATGTCTTATTTTTTGGCAGGGCTTCTCTTTTGCCTAAGGAACAGCTCATAGAATTTTATAATGTATAGAGTAATGGTGTACGGTCTGAGGTTCTTAGAAGTTTGCACTTTTTTTCCTCCCACCTAAATTGTGACTTAGAAGTAACTATTAATCTTTAAATACAAAAAAGGAAAATAACAAGAATAGCAAAAGAAGTAAATTCCTTAAGAATGTAAGAAAAACATACAAAAGATAACATTATCAAATGGTCTCTTAAATTGAAGAACTGTCACTTTAATACATTGCTGAATGTTTTTTGCTTTTGACTATTGTAAACTTCATATAGGATAACAGGCTAGTCAGTGAAGTAATTATTAAGCACTTCAGGTTAGCAAAACAAATCCTTTCTTTTGAAGTTTGCTTCCCCATATCATATCTGTTTTTCCAGGTGAATATATACCGTCTAGTAACAAAGGGATCAGTTGAAGAAGATATTCTTGAAAGGGCCAAAAAGAAGATGGTTTTAGATCATCTTGTGATTCAAAGAATGGACACAACCGGGAAGACAGTACTACACACAGGTTCTGCTCCATCAAGGTAGTTATTTGACTATAAAAAAATATCATTTTAGAGTCACCCTTAACTCATTTTTCTAAAATGTTATCATTGTAAATAGCTTACTGAAGTGTGTTGTATTCTATATTGTGATTTTTAGATTTAGAGTGTATGAAGACACGCAGCTGATTTATAGTTACTGAATATTTAGCTTTACCACTGTGGCTTTATTCCCTTTAACCTGTATGTTTTAAGTTCTTTAATTATAAACTAAACACTAAAAATAAAAATAAACACTAAAACTTTAACCTAGTTATGTAACTTTTTAAAGTCATAAAACTTTAACTTAGTTTTATAATTGTCATAAAAGTGACTTTCCAATATAACAAAAGTGTTTTGTAAGTATTACATGCTAATGCTAAGTATTTTTGTTTGTTTTTAGTTCTACTCCTTTCAATAAAGAAGAATTATCAGCCATTTTGAAGTTTGGTGCTGAGGAACTTTTTAAGGAACCTGAAGGAGAAGAACAAGAGCCCCAGGTAAAAGTTGCCCCAGGCTATGTGTTGTTACCTATTTGGTAAGAGGAGAAAGGATTCATTTATATTTAAAGTAAAGATTTCCTTCTAATTATAGGAAATGGATATAGATGAAATCTTGAAGAGGGCTGAAACACATGAGAACGAACCAGGCCCTTTAACTGTAGGAGATGAGTTACTTTCCCAGTTTAAGGTAGGTTTCCTTTTATCTTTCCTTTCTTTTTTTAAAAATTATCGATCAGGAAAGAATTGAATTAAATTAGTGGTTTATTAATTATAACCAATAAAATAATTTTTATTTAAACTTTGGTATGTTTTTTGAAAACTTTTCTAATTTGAAAGTAAGTCATTTATTAATAGTTAAATTTAATTGTATGGAAATGGTTGTTATTTCCTAATTCGAACTTAAAATTCTGCTCAGCAAATAGCATGTCCTCAAATATTCTTTTGTTAAGTTGTTTTGTTTTGTTTGTTTTTGTTTGTTTCTAGACAGGGCTTACTATGTAACCCACTCTGGCTTCCAGGTCGTCCTCCCTAAGCTTTCTAAATGTTGAGATCCTAAATCTGTGTTTATTTGCCATGGATGGCTTAAATGGAACATTTTATTTAAATTCTACAACGAAGACTTCCAATTGATTTTTATAGGAGTTTTTGATAAAAGAATTATCACAGATATCAACACTCTAATAAATCAGTCAGAAAAATGAGCAGTACTTAAGGTTTATATTTACAGATAATCCCTGGTTTAATGATTTCTGAAAAGTTACAAGAAGTCCTAAAGCAATATGAGTCAACTGACCTCTGGAAGTTGAGAGCTGAAATTTGTGAACTGAAGTTCTTAAGGGTCAGTTCAATCCATGGTGCTTGTTAATTTAACAGATATTTACAGACTGCTTGAAACGGATGCATACATCATTAAAGCTGAGTGCTGTGTGGAGGATAGACAGTAGTTGTGGAAAAAGCACTGAAGCAAAGAGATACTAGAATGCTGTTTAAAGTTGAAGCTTTTTGGAATTGGTAGCCTGGGCTTCATCTAATTATAGTGTTTTCCACCTCTAATATTTGCTTTTAGTTTGACAGTTTGAAAAAAAATTAGTGACTGAAAAAATATTGGATATTTTATACCAGTGAATTGATTTTTTTTGGGGGGGGTTGGTCGTGGGGCTTGAACTCTGGGCTTGGGCGCTGTCCTTGCGCTCTTCAGCTCAAGGCGAGCGCTCTACCGCTTGAGCCACAATGCCACTTCCGGCTTTTTTCTTTTTGCTTATGTGGTGCTGGGAATCAAACCCAGGGCCTCAGGCATGCAAGGTAAGCACTTTACCACTGAGCCACCTTCCCAGCCCCCAGTATGGTTTTTTTTTTTAAATTAAATAGATATATTTTATTGAAAAGATACTGTACAGAGGGGTTACAGTTACATGATCAAGGTAATGAGTCCATTTCCTATCAAGCATTGTTACCCCTTGCTTTGTTTTTTCCCTACCATCCCTTTCTGACGGTATATTTTCATTGTCATTCTGGCACGCACTTAAACCTATAATAATTTATTCCGTCAAACTTGTGGAATTTATCAGGTTGCCAATTTTTCAAACATGGATGAAGATGACATTGAATTAGAACCTGAAAGGAATTCAAAGAACTGGGATGAAATCATTCCAGAAGATCAAAGAAGACGATTAGAAGAGGAAGAAAGGCAAAAGGAGCTTGAGGAAATCTATATGCTTCCACGAATGAGAAATTGTGCAAAACAGGTGATTTTGTAAATTAATAAGATATTCCTATAATATAGTAGTGTAGGATCCATTCTAGATTGGTACTTGTATTGCTTCAGAGAAGTATTTTATTTGTCCATAGTTTTGTTGTTTATGTCTGTAATTTGATTGTTTTCCTAAAATGAAAAGGATGCTTCCTGTCTATTTCAGGTTTCGTTTAGGTAGAATTGGGAATAATTCTTCTTTAAATGTTGGGAGTATTTGTCAAGTAAACTACCTGAGCCTGTTGTTTCATTGTTGAAATTTTTTTTTCTTTTAACTATGATTTCTTTTTTAGATAAAGAACTATTCAGGATATCTATTTCTTTCTCTTTTTTTTCTTCTCTCTTTTTTTTCTTTTTTTTTTTCCTTGCACATTTTTTTTTCAATTTGTTTTCTCTCTCTCTTCCTGATGCTTAAGTAGAAGTGGAGCAGAAAGGTAAATGCACTGTTACCAATGCTAATCCCTAACTTACACTTATCCTCCCCGAGGATATCTATTTCTTTAATGAGTTTGATAATTTCTTTTGAGGAATTTGTTTTTCTTTAAGCTGAACTGAATAAGCATGAAGTCACAATAGTCTCTTATTTCAATATCTGTAGGGTATTTAAGTGATCTTTCATTCTTTTTGTGTGTGTGTGTGTGTGTGTGTGTGTGTGTGTGTGTGTGTGTGTCAGTAGTGGGGTTTGAAATATGGGCATGGGCGCTGTCTCATCTCTTTAGCTCAAGGCTAGTGCTCTACCACTAGAGCCTAGCGTCACTTCGGTTTTCTAGTGGTTTATTGGAGATGAGTCTTATGGACATTCTTGCCCAGGCTGGCTTTGAACCACGATCTCAGATCTCAGCCTCCTGAGTAGCTAGGAGTACAGGCGTGAGCCACTGGTGCCTGGCTTTTTTTTCTATTTCTAACTTTATGTGTTTCTGTTTTTTAAACCATTATTTTTTGCTTTTGATTTAATTTGCTCTTTTAAGTTTTATAAGGTAAGCTTACTGAATGTAGATCATTCAATTTTTGTACTATTAGCAGCTAATGATATGTTCTCTTGTAAGCATTACTTTTTCTGTGTATTCTACACATTAATAGTTTTACTTTTTTTTTAATTGTGAAGATACTTGATTTTACTTTTAATTTCCTTTATTCACAGTAATTCAGAATTTCCCATGTGAACCAGGTGCCAGTGGCTCATGCCTATAATCCTAGCTACTCAGGAGGCTGACATCTGAGAATTGTGTTTTAAAGCTAGCCCAGGCAGGACAGTTTGTGATTTTCATCTCCAATTAACCAACAAAAAGCTATGACCTAAGAGGTAGAACACTAGCTTTGAACACAAAAAGTTCAGAGACAGCACTAGGCTCTGTGTTTAAGCCCCAGTACCATCTGCCCCTCCCACTCCTCCACTCCCCCCCCCCCCAAATATCTCTCAGGTTTCCCTCTTTATACCTGTATTGTCTTAGAAATGTTTCAAATGAGCTGGGTACTGATGGCTCACACTTGTAATCCTAGCCACTGAGGAGGCTGACCTGATCTGAGGTTGGAAGATCATCGTTGGAAGCCAACCTGGGCAGAAAACTTTGTGAGAATTATCTCCAATGAACTACTAGGCTGGAAGAGGCACTGTGCTCAAGTGGTAGAACACTGGCCTTCAGCACAAGGCTCAGGGACAGTGCCCAGATCCTGAGTTCAAGCTCCACAGCTGACCCCCCCCCCAAAAAAAAAAAAAAGTTTCACATGGAAGGCTTTCTAAGTGTTAATGATTTCTAGTTTAACTATCATGTTTCTTCTGCAGTTTGAATTTTTATAATTGTTTTGTTTCTTTGGTGGCCCAAATGAACAAAATGCTAGTTTTTTAAATAGTATACTGCCAGGGGATATGGACTCTTTCCTTAACCAATTTCTTTTTCCAATAATATTTATTTAAGAATAAGACTATTTGAGTTTTAAAGTACCTCACTAAATTTTGAAGACGGACTTTTTTTTGCCAGTCCTGGGGCTTGAACTCAAAGCTTCTTTGCTGTTTCCGAGCTTCTTTTTCTCAAGGCTAGCCCTCTACCACTATAGCCACAGTTTCAACTTTTTAGGTAGTTATTGGAGATAAAAGTCTCAAGACTTTTCTGCCTCAGCTGGCTTCCAACTGCATTCCTCAGATTTCAGCCTCCTAAGTCAGATTATAGACGTGAGCAACCAGTGCCTAGTGTGGAGACTTTTGAAGGGGAGCAGGGAAGTTAATATAAGTAAGAACTAAGTACTGGCTTCAAATTAAGTAATGTTTAACATATTAAGGGTTCAGAATATGTGAGAGGCTTTGGAAACACTCCCAAAACAGTGTATATATTGATATATTCATTAGAACTATGGATATTATAAAAAAATACATGCATGTGGATTTTTTGGCACTTTTTTCTTTCAAATACTTGGTCATCTTGGTAAACTTTAGTAAGGTGTGTGTGTGTGTGTGTGTGTGTGTACACATACATACATACATAAATACATATGAAAAATGGTAAAAAGGAATGAGGAATCAACTTGCCTCCCCAGACATATGACTGAGCAGTAATATTAAACACATTCCTTTTTTTTTTTTCTTTTTCTTTTTTCGGTTGGTCCTGGGGATTGAAGTCTAGGCCTAGGCGCTGTCCCTTAGCTCTTCAGCTCAAGACAAGTGCTGTACCACTTGAGCCACAGCACCATATCTGGTTTTCTCGTGGTTTATTGGAGATAAGAGTCTCACAGACTTGCTTGTCCTGGCTGTTTTTGAACCACAATCCTCAAATCTCAGCCTCCTGAGTAGCTAGAATTATAGGCATGAGCCACCAGGGTCTGGCTAGCATTCAATTTTTTACAAAATGCATGTTATTTGCCAGATTTACTTGGAGTCATGTTGACTTGAAACTTGTTTTCTTCCCTTTGACAGTGTATGTAGGTAATTAATTATCCTACAACAGTTTTTCATAGCTTTTAAAACACTGCTTTGTATGAATTTAGTCTCTGGTGAATGTTTTATTGTTTATGCTTTGTTTATTTTGTAAAGGACTACTAGATAATCTACCTAACAATTCCTTAGGAGAAATACCTAGAAGTTATATGGCTGAGTCAACAGAATAAGTTTTAAAAGTTTTTAGTACAGTGATGCCAAATTACCCTCTCATAGCTTAAGTATTCACCAAAGATGTATCAGTATTCATTGTTGGTACTATTGGCCATTGTTGCTTATTTATGTAAGTCAAGTTGGTATATTAAAAATGCATTTTATTGTTACTTTGCATTAAAAATTACTGTTAAGGTAATATAAATTTATATTTATACAACGATTTCAGTTGCTCATTAACTACCCTTAATTGTACAAAAAATAGGTTGGTGTTGATTTATAAAAAGCTTTTGTATAAGACCATCAATATTTTCTCATGGATGTGTGTTATGTTCTCCCTTGTATTCTATTCAGTTTTTCTGATTTAGCATGTGTTTGATATATAAAATAATATTTTTAAAGTTTATACAGTATTTTGGAGTATTTTTCTTTGCCTTTACAGTGTAAGTAAGCCTTGATTATCCTAAGTGTGAGTAAATTTTTTATTTCCGAATTCTAGATTAGTTTCAATGGAAGTGAAGGGAGGCGCAGTAGAAGTAGAAGGTACTCTGGATCTGATAGTGATTCAATCTCAGAAAGGAAAAGGCCAAAGAAACGAGGAAGACCACGCACTATCCCTCGTGAAAATATTAAAGGATTTAGTGATGCAGAAATTAGGCGGTAAGATGATAAGACTATTTTGTTTTAAACTCATTTTATTACAGTGTAAAACTAAAATATGCAAGTCTAGTAATTGGCAGAAATTGAGATGAAAGTTTTAGAAGACATAAACATATTCGAATAGAATTAGTTGGTTCTGCTTTTGGGTAGTCATTAGAACCTTAGGGGCAGGCTTGGGTAGCTAAATTACAAAGTTTGCATGTTATCTACTGTTAGACCATTTAGACTACTAAAATTTTTGGTTACACTGATGTGTTTCAAAAAAATGGCCCTTTTGAATAATAAAATTATATTTTATCATACTTGATTTGTGATTATACCAGTATTACTGTTTTGTGTGGGGTAATTTAGTTCTGTATTTTTCTAATTTCTTTTAACACTGAGGTCATTACTTTTCTGGAGCTGGGGATTCAGCTCAGCAGTCCATCCTGTGCTTAACATAAGAAAATCCCAGTTTCCATCCCTAGTACCAGAGGGGGGAAAATCATTTCTGATATGGCTAAATAAGAATAGAGGTAAGATTGGCCATATAGGACAAATTGTAGCTTCTACTTAAAATATGCTTAAATCTGTACATAATGTGTTTAAGGGGAATGAGATAGTAGCTTATTGTGTTAGGTAATAGTTTTATACTTGTAAAAAGGTTGTTCATTTTTATATTTTCAGATTTTGTTTCTTTCAAGCCATTGTAACTCTTTTCTTTTAAATCATAGACCTGACAAAGTTCTTCCTCATTGTTCCCACCAGAAAACTAAATACATTGTTAGCTTTTGTAAGGGTACTTTTATGACAATCTGCTTTGCTGGACTTTCTGTCTTTAGTCGAAGAAGCATTTCATCTTCTACTTTTCCTGGATATTTTCTCTCATCCATCAACCACATAAGTAGCTTTGTTCTGAAGTAAAATTTTTATTTACCATTGTTGATACACATCTGAATGAAAAACTTTTGGTAATTTTTTAATCATCATTTGGAGTAGGAGGAGGTGTGATATGACTGATAATTCTGGAGACACTTCCCACTTTTTTCTTTTGTCTTGTGAAAATAATAAAGTAAATTTTAAAATAAAATGTAGTTTCTATTGTTTTATTTATATTGATATCTTAACTTCATTCTGTGTTAAAATGTCTTATCTTACTTGATATAGATTGATTTCTTTAATTTATACCATGATTCATTTTTTTGTAACAGTGTCTTGAATTAATTTTTTGTACTAAGAAGTATTTTTTGTTTCTGTGTACATTACACTTGTTTTAATGGATTATGGGCACTTGTTTAAATCATACATTTATTTTCTGTTAGGTTTATCAAGAGTTATAAGAAATTTGGTGGCCCTCTGGAAAGGTAAATACTTATGTCATTCTCAAATTGCATTATATACTCTTAGCTCTTTTACTCATATTACTGTTTACTGCTTTGATGAATTTGCTTTTAACAGATACAGATTTAGTAATACAAAATAAAAATTTTAGATTGATTTAAATTTTTTTATTATTTATTATTTTTTTATTTTTTCCAGTCTGGGAGGGGAAAAAAGAGGGCTTGAACTCAGAGCTGTCCCTGAGCTTCTTTATGTTCAAGGCTAGTACTCCACCACTTGAACCACTGAGCCACTTTTGTCTTTTTCTGTTTATGTGGTACTGAGGAATCGAACCCAGTGCTTCATGCATGCTAGGCAAGCACTCTCCCACTAAGTCACATTTCTAGCCCATATGTTCTATTCTTCTCTCAAGTCTCTTAAATGTTCTTTTTTGTGGGGCTTAACTCTGCCTGGACGTTGTCTCTCAGCTCTTTCAGCTCAAGGCTAGTGCTCTACCACTTGAGCCACAGCGCCACTTCTGGCTTTTTCTGTTTATGTGGTGCCTCATGCATGCAAGGCAAGCACTCTACCACTGAGCCACTTTCCCAGCCCCCTTAAATGTTCTTTACTAAGCAAAACTGTCTGTAAAATGCATGTTAAATTACATTGTAGGTATAAATTATTTTCCATAATCTCTTTTATTTTTAAAATATTTTATTTGTAACAAGTTATGAAAGTATACAATTTTATAGGCTTAAAATAGAGATATTTGATTTTTTTCATGTCTTATTCCATCAGTTATTTATTTTTTATTTTTAAAGAGTTGTACAAGGAGTTAACACTCTAATATTAATCTATTCATATGTACAATACATTTCCTCAGGGTCAGCCCTTCATTCTCTCTCCCCGCCCCCTACCCCCCAACATACCTATTCATCCATCTCATCTAGTTTTCTGATTTCTTTTTTTTTTATGTATTATATTGAGTATTATGGAGATATAGCCTATTTTATTTAGTTTGAGATGATTTGTTTAAAATGCAGTGAAATACTTGGATTAGTATTTTAGATCATGGAAAAACTGTTTTGAATGTCCTGTAATAAATTATACTACTTTTTCATTTATATTATTTTGACAAAGCTTTATCATTTTACTTCTCTTTTTTCTCTCTTTTCTTTGGTCATGGGGCTTGAACTCTGGGCCCGAGCATTGTCCTTGAACTCTTCAGCTCAAGGTGAGCGCTCTACCACTTGAGCCACAATGCCACTTTTGGTGGTTAATTGAGATGAGTCATACAGACTTTCCTGCCTGGGCTGGCTTTGGACCTTGGTCTTCAGATCTCAGCTTCCTGGGTAGCTAGGATTATAGGCGTGAGCCACTGGCGCCCAGCTCACACTATCACTTTGCAACTTTTGGAAATTTGATGAGTTATGAACAAGTTTTACACAACTAGTATATAATCTCCCATTTGCTCCTTAATGAATTCTTTAACTTTATTGTTACTCTTAAATATATTATTGCAATGTTTCCCTGCCAAATTTTCCTGGTTTCTATGTATGTCATATCAGTTCTATAAACTAGGGCTGGTAAGGTGGCTCAGTGGTAGAGTGCTTGCCTTGCATGCATGAGGCACCACATAAACAGAAAAAATAAGAAGTGGTGCTGTGGCTCAAGTGGTAGAACGCTAGCCTTGAGCTGAAGAGATGAGGGACAGGGCCCAGGCCTGGAGTTCAGGCCCCATGACTGACAAAAACAACCCTAACGTTCTATAAACTAGAATCTACAGATCAGACAGTAGAAAGACATTTAGATCTAAAAACAAATTGAAGCTTACTTTTTCTTAAACAGCACCATTTCATACTTTATCATATTTACCTGAAATGTATGTATTTTTTTTTTTTTTTTTACAGATTAGATGCAATTGCTCGAGATGCTGAGCTAGTTGATAAGTCAGAAACAGACCTTAGACGACTAGGAGAATTGGTACACAATGGTTGCATTAAAGCTTTAAAGGATAGTTCTTCAGGAACAGAACGAACAGGTAACATTAATTTGAGAATTATTTAAAGAGAAGTAAATGAAAAGTTTTAAGTTAGTTACCTTAAGTTACCTATTCAATCTTTTAAAAAGATGCTTTACAAAAAAAGCAAGCCCATTCTCAGTACTTGGGAATAGCAAACAGAATTGAAGTTTTGAGAGCAATAGAAATCCTTTACAGTTCCTCAGTTTGGAACAATATGAGGAATTATTATTATGCCATCTTTTACCATAAGTAGACATTTTGAATATACATGTTACTGATTTGCACTATGCCTATTTCATTATGCTTGTTTTTAAATTGATACAGCTAAAGAAAAATATTTGCATAAGATTTACTATTCAGATACACTGAAAAAAAAGTAGTAGAATTCTTAGAGGCCAACAGTATTTATTAATAGACTTGCTTTGTAAAATTGATTTTGATAATTACATGGAATAATTTTTTTATTCCACATCTGCCAGTATATATATATATATATGGTGGAGATTAAAATTTTCTAGTAATACTTAGTAATATGGCAGTATTCATGTAATAGCATAGGTAGTCTTCTTCCAGAATTAGGTTTCATACATCTTTCTGTACTTTTTTTTAAAAATTAAGGTGGTAGACTTGGAAAAGTGAAGGGTCCAACATTCCGAATATCAGGAGTACAAGTGAATGCTAAGCTAGTCATCTCCCATGAAGAAGAATTAATACCTTTGCACAAATCTATTCCTTCAGATCCAGAAGAAAGAAAGCAGTGAGTTATTTACTTCATATAATTTTTGTGGTTAATTAGCCATTTTGTTATGAATATGTTAATTTCTTGCATTATTGGCTAGTTTTGAATACAATTTTTTTAAGTATACACCCATTTTTTACAAAATTTTCCATTAAGGCTATTAAGAGATTAATTGTAATTTCGTTATTAGGTATACAATCCAATGTCACACAAAAGCTGCTCATTTTGATATAGACTGGGGCAAGGAAGACGATTCCAATTTATTAATTGGTATTTATGAGTATGGCTATGGAAGTTGGGAAATGATTAAAATGGATCCAGATCTCAGTCTAACACACAAGGTAATTTTATATTTCTTGACTTCCTTGAACAATAATGGGTTTGTTTTTCTTCTCTAATTCTTCTGGGGGGGTAATCTCTTGTGAATAAGCTCTACCAGGACTAAGGAAACCTTAGCTCTAGTTAGTTTTGTGAACTTGACTTTTGAAGTTGGTTTTCTTGAAAGTATTGGATTTAAATAAATATTGAGAGTTTATATTTGTTTTCAAGGCATATGTATATTTTTCTTCAGATTACTAGGTTATAGTTCTTTCATTTATTAGTAAGGTCAAAAAGGACTTTTTTTTTTTTAAACTCTGTGGATATTTATTCTACTTCAAGTAACAAAACCTACGAAGTCCTGTGTTGTAATGTACAGTTATATAACACTCTGCAATACAAAATATAATGTACAGAAATTTCTATCAAGTAAACCTAAAGAAACACACTTGATTTTTACACTTGGGTATTTAAATTAGAAAAATTTGCTTTATACGTAAAAGAATCTGTGCATCATATAAAAAGGACTTTTTTAATCTAACTTTTTTTAAAGGTATCAATGTTTATGAATTTTTGCTGATTTGATTATACTACATTGTATCTTTTCATACAATGGGTAACACTTTTTTACTCTTTATCTTAATGGACCAAATGGGAAGCTTTAGGTATCAGTGTTCAATCTTTTGTTTTTGTGAAACCAAACTTAAAAAGTCTAAAGTCTACATTTCCACTGAAAATTTTTCTCAAAATGATTTATTTTGTTTTCCCTTTAGATAGATGCTACTTTTTATCTTGGCAGTTTTTATATACATTATAGTTAACCCATTGTCATTGATAGCACAGAGAGATAAGGGATTTTTTTTTTTTGGCCAAGAAATGTAAATCTCTGACTGTGATATAGGTATAAAAATTTGTTGTGTGTGTGTGTGTGTGTGTGTAATTTACATACATAATTACTAAGAATTAAAACTCAATTGTCAATGGTGCTAACCATTTTTACCACAAAATTTTCTGTTTTACTTATTAGAAACAACCTGAGCTAGACACAAGTGGTGTAGGCCTGTAATCCTAGCTTAGTCAAAAAGCAGACATCTATGGGATAGCTGTTCAAAGCCAGCCCAGGTAGAATATGACTGTTTGACTCTTATCTCCAAAAACCAGCAAAAAGCTAGCTGGAATTGTGACTCAAGGATAGTTCACACTAGCTGAGCAAACAAGCCTAAAGCCCTAAGTTCAAACACCAGCATCCCTTCCTCAAAAAAGTAGAACAGAAAGCAAGCAACCTGTATAAAAATTGCCTTTTCAGATTCTTCCAGATGATCCTGATAAAAAACCACAAGCAAAACAGTTGCAGACACGTGCAGACTACCTCATCAAATTACTTAGTAAAGACCTTGCAAAAAAAGAAGCTATGAGACTTTCTGGTGCAGTAAGTTAATGTTTAAGAGCAGTTTACTTTTTCATGTTTGTTGACATACTAGATATTGATAATTACTCTGAGGTTACAAGTTTTAGGTATTTTAGTAGTTTTATTTTTCTTAAATAGTTTTTATCATGTATGTTAAAACTTGTGAGTTATGTTTCAGAATTGAGATCCTGTTTTTTTTTAGAATTTGAAGAAGAATCAGAAAAAAATAGATGAGTATTTTAGTTTCTGTTAAGCCTCTATCCTGTAGTATTTTCAGGTAGTAAAGTTTAAGGGGCCATATATCAAAGGTCATTGAGCTTCTTTACAAAGAGACTCTAGTGGACAGTGTCACTGAGCTCAGGATGGTGGGAGTCTTAAAGGAGACTTTAAAATTTACCTGTGATCACAGTGTCAGTAACTACCTGTGTAGCATTAAAAACCTTATCTGTTTACTCTCTGGTACCATTTAGTTGAAGGTGATAATTTAAATGGTGACAATTCTTTCCATCTCATTTCTCCTTATAAAGGAATACTTAAAATTGGTTAGTATTCGTTATTGGCGTTAATATTTTAGATCGATAAACCTAGAGCTTTTTTGTTGACTTTTCAACCTTGGTGCAGAATATTACCAACAAACTTAAGTATAGGTAGGAATATATGTCCTAACATTTGGATTAGTATCCAAGAAAATCTGTAGAATTGATTAAATAAATTATTTTTAGGGAGGTTCCAAGAGGAAAAAAGCAAGAGCTAAGAAGAATAAAGTGATGAAGTCCATAAAAGTAAAAGAGGAAATAAAGAGTGATTCTTCTCCCCTGCCGTCAGAGAAGTCTGATGAAGATGATGATAAAGTAAGGGTGCATATTTAGTAGCAACCTTTTATACAGAAAGAATACAGCAATTTTTTTGTGTATTTTATTTATATTTAAAATGTAAACATTTTAAATGCTCAGTGGTAGAGCGCTTGCCTTGCATGCCTGAGGCCCTGGGTTCAATTCCTCAGCCACATAAGCAGTTAAAAAAAAAAGCTGGAAGTGGCGCTGTGGCTCAAGTGGTAGAGCGCCAGCCTTGAGCTGAAGAACTGAGGGATAGCGCCCAGGCTCAGAGTTCAGGCTCCACGACTGGACCCCCCCCCCCAAAAAAAAAAAAAGCGAACATTAAGTACTGAATTTTTTTTTTCCTGTGATACCAAATGTCTTATTCATAGAATATGCATTAGATATGTTTGAGGCATAGAATAAAGGTTCTTTTCTTTTTAAACATTTACTATTTCATTGAGCTGTTTTCTCTTTGAATTTTATTGTAAATTTGAATGAGACTGACTTAGTTTATAGGAAGGTAAACATTACGTGCATCGTTATTAAGGAGATTCTGGGATATGTCTCTCAGAATCCATATTCATGCGATCATAGTTACATAAAAAATATTTTAGTCTGTATCAAAGCTGAGTTAGTAATATCATTGGCCATACTTGCACCTTTCAGAATAAGGTTGCTTCTGTGAAACATCCAAATAAAAGAATGAAAACAGAAAGAGATGGTGAAGAACCACTTGAGCCAGATCTTTGTATAAAGAAGGAACCAGGAGAAAAGAGGGAAGCAAAAGAGAATAAAAGAGAAATTGAAAGGGAGCTAAAAGATAAAGATTTAAAGGAAAAAGATTGTAAAGAAAAAAGTGAAAACAAAGTAAAAGAAGCTATGAAGAAGAGAAAAAACATAAAAGAAGAAAAAGTATGCATACTTTTTTAACTTTGTTTTCATAATAAACTTGAGAAAGTAAAAGATTAGATATACATTTTAGAAATGACATTAACTCATGTTAGTCTCAATAACTAAGTTTTTCAGTATGTGTTGGTATATATAGTAAGAGAAAAAGTGGGTTTGACCATTTTTTTTAAAAAATAGACTCATCTACAGGGTAACATTAGAAAGATGGTTTAATTTTGGTTTTTCCAAATGAAGTAGGAGTAAAATAGACAAGTGTATTTAAAGAAATAAGTACTTAATGAAATGAACAAAAAAAGTTTTCTAAGAATGTTAATCATTTTGTTCCTGTGTTGGGGCTTTTATTTCCTCTTTTTTTCAGTTGAGTGAATCCAAATCTGAAAATAAGGAGCGATCCAAAAAGTCTTCAATGTCAGATGCTCCAGTTCATATTACTGCAAGTGGTGAACCAGTTCCCATATCAGAAGAATCTGAAGTCCTTGATCAGAAGACATTTAGCATTGTAAGCAGTAGACTTTCTCAGAATAGTCATTTAAATTGCAGTTTAATTTTTGGACCTTTTAACTTAGGTGTTTGTAATTGATAGTATAATTCAGATTAATGACAGAGACTTATATTTTAAAAGGTGTCAATAGAGAATTAATTTGGAAAAAAATTCTTTTCATATATTATTTTTCTTTCATCAAAATGATTTTTTTCCTGTACTTCAGAAGTTTACATAAGGGGGTTCATCTAAGTGTCCAGTGTTTCAGAATTACCCCTTCCATCATTCTCCTTAGCTCACCTGTTTACTCCTTCCAGATTCATTTCATATTTCCCACTTTTTTTGTCACATAAATACATTGAATAATATTTTTAGTTTTATTTTTTAGTTAGCATGCCTGAGCAGTATGATGTAATAATTCCTTGGATACAAACACTGTACTTTGAACAAGTTCATTCTCTCCATTATATTCATACTCTATCCCTATTTTGGGGGGTACAGGTTTTAAATAAACAGTGAAGTAAAGGCATTAAGAAATACTCAGCGAGAGATCCTGTTCCTTTCATTCTAGCATTTTTAACTTTAACTCAATTTTATAGAGCTTCTTACCTATAATAAGGAGGCTTTTTTTTTCCTGCAGCCTCTTATAGAAAACTCTTAGAATGGGCTGGGAAGGTGGCTCAGTGGTAGAGTGCTTGCCTTGCATGCATGAGGCCCTGGGTTTGATTCCTCAGCACCACATATGCAGAAAAAGCCAGAAGTGGCGCTGTGGCTCAAGTGGTAGAGTGCTAGCCTTGAGCTGAAGAGCTGAGGGACAGCACCCAGGCCCAGAGTTCAGGCCCCACAACCGGAAGAAGAAAAAAAAAGAAAACTCTTAAGAATATTAAAAATGAAAATGGCTATATTTTACTAGATAGTGAAATGCACAACAAAGACATAAATTATAAGCCCCAATGTTTTATTCCTGTATTTAAAGAACCTAAAATTTCACAGTCAAATTTATTACTAATATTTCTAAACCCACAATCTATGTGTACTAAATCATTGTGAATTGACAAAATTTCTTAGATCTTATATTGAGCAACACTGGCCTAATATATGACTAGTTAAACATAAAGAAACATTATATCCAAAGAAAAGAAACTCTTATATAACAAGATTGTGAGGTGGGAAGACAGTATTTGTGTGTGTGTGATATTACTGGTACATAACAGGTATGGGATGTTCAGAGCTTGAATTGAGGCTAAGAAATGTATTATTACAGACAGTAATGAAGGAAACATACAATATGGTATACAATTGTATCACATTTATACAGTATACGTAAGTGTAATATGTTCATATATATATGCTGTTTAAAACTTTTTAACATGAATATTCTATATTGCTTTGCAAATTTGACATATTTTATTCGTTAGATTTTGGCATAATCTTAGGTTCATTTTATCACATTAATCAAATGCTGTATATCACATTGTTTTTTTCATCTGTGCAACACTTGATGGACACCTAGACTGACTCCATAATTAAGCTGTTATGAACAGTGCTGCTATAAATCGATGGATATACAACTATCTTTTCTTGTACATTGATTTATACTGTCAGATATAATCCCAGGAATGGTACAGTTGAAATCATGTTATTCTGGTTTTCATTTGTTGAGGAACATCTATAGTCAATAAAATGGTGATGCACCAACTTACATTTGTTTTCTTTCCTCCCCTCCGTCCCGGATCCTGGAACCTGAACTCTGGGCCTATGTGATGTCTCTGAGCTCCTTTTGCTTAAGGCTAGCCACAGCACCACTTCTGGCTTTTTATGAGTAGTTTACTGGAGATAAGAGTCTCATGGACTTTCCTGTCTGGACTGGCTTCACACCATGATCCTCAGAGGATCTCAGCCTCCTGAGTAGTTAGAATTAGACACGTAACCTGCTGGCACCCCACTTCATTTGTTTTCTTAAAGTCATTCTAATTGAGGTGCCTGGACTCTCAGTGTTGTTTTTATTTTCATTTCCCTTATGGCTGAAAATGTTGGAACATCTTCATAAATTTATTTCTTGACCATTTATGTGTTTTTTGAGAACTATCTTTTCAATTCATTTTGCTCATTAATTGGATAGTTTAAAATATTTTCTTTTATGAAGTAGTTAATACAAAGAGTTTTAATTCCAGAATTCAGATTTTAAGCACAGTGCATCTTGATCATTGTCACCCTTCTCAATAATTCTTTTGATATTTGAGGGAGAGTCCATTATATATTCTGATATTAGTCCTTTATTCAGTGACTAGGAGGCAAAGATTTTCTTCCATTTTATAGGTAGTTTCTGTTCTGATAATTTTCTTTGCTGTATAGACCCTTTTTAATTTACTTTTTAATTCTTAGCTCCTAAGCAGTTGATAACTATAAAAAGATGTCACCTATGCATATATCTTGGAGTAGCTTACCTATATTTTCCTCGGTTTGTTTCAAAGTTTCAGACCATACATTTAGACTTTGATCCATTTGGAATTAATATTTATGCAGGCTGAGATTAGTTTCAGTCTTCTATGTGTGGATACCACTTTACCCAGCGCTATTCAATAAATATTGAATAGGACAAGCTCTCTAATGTATAACTTTTGACACATTTGTCAAAAATCTTGATTGCTGTAGCCAATGTTGTTTCTGGATCTTTTGTTGGTTCTTATGTCTGTTTCTGTGCAAGGACATTGCAGCTCTGTAGTATTTCGTCAAGTGAGGTATTATTTGGGGTCTTCTGTGTTTCTATATGAATTAATTTTCCATTTATTGAAAAATGACATGAGTTTTTATAAGAATTACATTGAATCTTCAGATTGCTTTCAATAGTGTAGTCATTTTCACAATATTAATTTTGCTGATTCATGAACACGTGCATGTTTTCACCTTCTAACGTCTTTCTCAATTCAATTCTATAGTTTTGTAGTATTTATTTTAGAAATCTTTTGCCTCCTTTTGTAAGTTTACTTCTTGGTATTTAATGTTTTTAGGGTTCTTGTAAATAGGGTTTCTTGCCTGATTTCTTCCTTACTTGTTTGATTTTGGTATATAGAAAACCTAAGCTGTTTTCTTTTTGCTACTTTGTGAAAAATAGTTATTACAACCAAGAGATTTTTGGTGGAATCTTTAGTTTTTTTTAAAAAATCTTTGTATCTGAAAACAGCAATATTATGACTTCTTTATGATTTGCATCTTTTTAAAAAATCTCTTTCTTGTCTAATTACTCTGGCTAAGAATTCAAGCGTTATATGCCTAGTTCTTGACCTTGAGGAATTGTATTGGTTTTCCCCAATTAATATAATGTTGGTTATAGGTTTTTATATTGTGGTATATTCCTTTTATTTCTGTTTTCTTCAGGACTTTTCATGAAGGAATACTGGATACTCTTATGCCTTTTCTACATCTACTGAGATACTTAGGCAATTTATGTCTTTTATTTTCTTTATGTATCCTGTTAATATGTATTGGGGATATTAAAACATCCTTGTGTACTTACAGTGAAACTTCATATAGTATGATTTTTAATGTGTCACTTTTAGTTTTCATTCATTATACTGAGTTTCTATGTCAAAATATATATACATATATATGTATATATGGAGGGAATTTGTAATTTTTTCCCCCTCTCCAACCTCTATCCTTGCTCTTCCTCCCCATCCCCTTTTACCCTTTTTTAATCTTTTTAAAAATCTTTTCAATGAATCAACTTTTTGTTCTGTTGATTCTTTGTATTGTTTCAGTCTCCATTGTTATTTCTGCCATACTCTTTATTGTTTCCTTTGTCTACTTTGGGATTTGGCTAGTTCTTGTTTTTCTGAAAGTTGCAGGTACATCAGTAGGTTATCAATTTGGGATCTCTCTGATTTTTTTTTTTTATTGAAGGTACTCATAGTTATAAACTTAAAACTGCCTTTGCTGTGACACAAAGTCTCTCGTAAGTTGTGTTTTCATTTTTGTTTGATTCTAGGAATTTTTTATTTCTCTGTGACTCACTGGCACATTCGCTGGTAAATTGTTCAGTCTCCATGTGTTCGGGTATTTTCTGTGGTTTCTCTTGTTGGTTTGTAGTTTTAGTTCCTCTATAGCCTAAGAAAATGTCAAAAATTATTTCAATTTTCTTACATTTCTTAAGAGTTGCTTTATATTGGAAGATACCTATTTTGTAGAAAGTTCTGTGGGCTTTTGAGGAGAAACTAATCTCTGGATATGTTAAGTGTATTTGACCTCTAGTTGTTTTTTTTAATTCTGAAGATTCTTTGTGGTTGTTTTTGTTCAGATGACCTATCTATTGGTTAGAGTTGGGTATAAGAAAATTAAGAAACATAGGCCCCATGGTTTCCCTTATTGGCAATATGTAGTATATGTATGAGTCAAGCGGAAAAGGTCAAATAATGTGATGTTAGGAAAATGAACCCTTAGATATGTATTTTAATGTTTTTTTTCTTCCATGCATGTGTTTCTAACGCATTTATAAGATTATCTCTTTGTTGCTTTGTATGTCCCTCCCCCACAGTATAACCCCTGCTTTCACTATATTTGATGTCAGTATAACTTGTGGAGGAGATGGGGAAAAACAAGTCGTTTAAGGATACAGGTGGACCTGTTGCAACAATGAGAAGTACAAGTTGTCATGTCAAAAACGAGCTTTACAATGTTGGTGGGGGGGGGGGAGGATCGGGACTGGGGGGGAGGCTGGGAAGGGATGTGAAGGATAAACAAAGGAGGAAGCTGCAATGCTTGGTAAGAAATGTACGTATTATCCTGCCCATGTAATTGTAACCCCTCTGTACAGTATGTTCACAAATAAAATAAATTAAAAAGAAATTTTTTTTTTGACTTTTGTAACTAATTTTGGTTTGATGTTTTTGTCAGACAGGAGCATAGTTTTGGAGGAGTAAGCCTGCCTTTTTTTTTTTTTTTTTTTAACATTTCTTGCGCATCTGAATCCTACTCTTTATTGGAGGTTTTAATCACCTGTAGAATTGCAGTTGAGATATTCTATGTTCAGGCAGGACAGTATAGTGACAGAGTTGAGGTGCTGTTTCTCACCATTGAAGTTAGGATATGGCTCAATAGTCAAAGCATTCAACCACACTTTGCTTATTTCAATTATTGCTAGCCTCATAGAAATTGGATAGCCTGTGAACCTGGGGCAAGTTCTCACTTGGAATAGGCAGCAGGCATCCAAGCCTACAGGTGATCCCCTGAATGCCTCAGACAGAGCATGGACATAGCAAACAGAACGGAGCCCTGTACTAGCTAGGGGAATAGTTTCCCTTTACCCTCTTACAGCCTTCTAATTTTCATCTAATTGTTTTTTTATTGTGAAAATACTGTACAGAGGGGTTACAATTACATGGGCAAGATAATGCATTGTAGCCTCCTCCTTTGTTTCCCCTTCCCATCGCATCCCCCGTCTCCCCCCGACCCTCCTCCCCACCTTACAAAGTTCATCCAATTGTTAAATGGACAGTGTTCTACTGTGTCCATGAATTTACCCTTCATTTATCTTCATAAATGATCCTTTTATTATCCTAGCGATGAAAAATAGAATTGTTTTAAACACAGATTCCAGAGCCAAGCATTCTGGTCTTGCCCTGGATTTTATTTCTATTTAAGGAATACTCTTTTATTGATGAATAACTGAGTAGTAATAAATCACCTGGCCTTCTTCTGTGTCATTTTCTAGACATTTTCCCTTATTTGTACTTTCAGATTTTTCCTCTCTTTCATTGATTTTTCCCCCCCTTTACAAATGGCAGTCACTAACAAGCACAGGGAGAAGAAAAAAGCACAAGATTTGAGATGGTTGGACCTGGCATTTTGTTCCTAAGCCTCTTTTTTTTTTCCTAGAAAAGATTAAATAGTTGGAAAAGGACTATTGTTTGGGTTGTATTTAGAGTGAAGTATAGTCTGTGGTATCCTAGTAAGTGCTTTTTGAATGTTCTATCTCCAGTTCCCATCTTTTTAGGCTTTTGCTTTTACATAGATTTCAATCAATTCTGGTTTCTCACACAGTGAGCAAATACTGAGATATAAGCCACACTCATCTCTTTACTGAGTTACTCAATAAGATCATACTTGTTCTTACTGTTGCAACCATTCTCTTATCATTCTATAATGCAGTTTGTACTTGATACAGCAGTTGGAGGTTGTAATAGTTACAAGAAGAATTAAGTCATATCTGTTATTTCTTTTTTTTTTAACTGTATTTTTTTTGTCTTTTCTTTTATGGTACTGGGGATCGAACCCAGGACGTTGCTAGGCAAGCGCTTTGCCACTGAGCTACATCCCAGCCCCATATCTGTTATTTCTATACTTAGAGCTCTCAAATGACTTTCCATCTCTCTTAAAACAAAACTTTTTATTGTATATATTACATATAATATATATCCATTTTCTGGATCATATAAAAATCTTATTTTATATGATCAGAGGCACATAGGCATTACACCTTGTATTCCCTCCCCTAAGAGTGTCCTCCTTTGGTCTTACTATGTGAATGTCTAGAGTCCTGTATAATTTATCATGTCCTGGTGTATTTTATACCTAGCTTCTGCAGATGAGAGAAAATGTATGGTTTGTGTCTCTGAGCTTAGTTTACTTCACTTAGCATGATGCTTTCTAAGTCCATCCATTTCCCTGCAAATGGCATATTATTCTATCTAATGGCTATAAAAAATTCCATTGTGTATAGGTACTACATTTTTTGTATCCACTCATCTATCTATTTAGGGCATCTGGGCTGTTTCTACAATTTGGTTTAAAGATAAATAACTTTCAAAAACCTGAAGTAGTATATTGTCATCATTATATCATCTGGAATGACAAGTGTCATTTCTACCACCTAATGTTGCTTTTCTTATATAGTTCCAGACCCATTAGCATTCATATATTTTTCCTTAAACATTTTCAAGCAAAATTTTGGTTATAACATGCCCTCTGTTTCTCTTTGTATTGAACATAGTTGTCAAGAAAAACTAAATCACTATGTTTTGCACTGGATTCTAGGTTTTATAAAATCATCGTCTATCATACTGATTTATTTCTTACATTTAGAATAATGCTAACATAGCATATATTCAATTTATAGGTGTTTAATATATTATTTTCTAGCAGGATGTAAACTACCAAAATTAAACCAGAAGTAAAAAACAAAGGAGCTATGAATAATGCCAACAGTGTAGTTAGGAAATGACTGTTTAATAAGGCTACTTAGAATGGTATATTTTTGCATTAAAAATAATTTTATAGAATCTAAGTAAAGTTCAAGACTTGTATTTCCATGAAGACTGATTTTCACATGACAATAATTATTTTCCTGAAGGAAATACAAAGGGGAAAAATGATGTGGATTTGTGAGGTGACCTGCAGCTGCTTTTTTCATCACCCTACAGTGCTATATTTACTCAAGTAAATGTCACTGGGCAAGCCAGCTCTTGCCATGTTCAGGTTTCTAATACATGTATTTATGTTCTTTTCCTATTTTCAAGTGTAAAGAAAGAATGAGGCCTGTGAAAGCAGCTTTGAAACAACTTGATAGACCCGAAAAAGGCCTCTCAGAAAGAGAACAGCTGGAACATACTAGACAATGTTTAATAAAAATTGGAGACCATATCACAGAATGTCTGAAAGAGTACACAAATCCTGAACAAATTAAGCAGTGGAGAAAGTAAGTGATACACTGTTAAATTTATCACTATCTATTTGTTGACATTAAGCAAGTTTTCATGGTATCCATTTTTGTTATGTTCTCCCTTTACGTTTTTTACCAAATGCCTTAAAAATAATGGAAATGCAGTACTATTTTTTGTTTAAAAATTATTGTAATGAAGAGATGCTGAAAACAATAGAATTTAAGGAGATGCGTCTTATTGATTTGTGTTAGGTCCAGCTCTGATGCTTTACCCAAAATGAGATAGTTGTGCAGGTTATAAGGTCAGGAGCAGAACTTAATTCCTGACTTCAGTATTTGTAGGGAAAAATGTATTTGTATAAAGAATTATGCACAAAAAGATAGTTTTAATTTTCTTACTCTTGTGAATTAACTGTAGAATGTGGGAAAGTCTTAATGTACTTTCTTAGTTCTATAGATTTCAGTTGAATCAGGTATTTGTTTTCTCAGCTAAATATTATTTTAAATTATATTTCAAGGTAAATGTCATAACTATAATGTATATTTGGGTTTTCTTATGATGACTAACTTAACATAATATTTACCTTTTGAGGTGTTACTGAGAATTTAGAATTACATTAAGGTGTTCAATTTGATGACTTAGTATACATTATTAAATGATGCATGGTTAATAACTAATGCATGCTTTAAACGGAAGGAGTTCTAGAGATACATGCCATTATTGGTTTATAGTGTCAGTTCAGAAAGTAAGAGTCCCCCCTCCCCAGGGCTTGGGCACTATCTCTGAGCCTTTTTGTGCTCAAGGCTAATGCTCTACCACTGGAACTATATATAGCACCACTTCCAGCCTTTTCTGAGTAAGAGTCTCACCGACTTTCCTGCCTGGACTGGCTTTGAACCATGACCCTCAGATCTCAGTCTAAGTAGCTAGAATTATAGGCATGAGCCACTGACACCTGGCAGTGATAGCCATTTTAATGCATTAAGACTATCTTTGGCCTAACCTTTCTTATCTGATACTGTTCCCAAACCATTAACATACCTCATCCATAAAGTCGGTAATAACATTAACAATATCTGAATACCTTCTTTTTTTTAATTTTTATTTTTTTTGGGGGGGGCTGAACTCTGGGCCTGGACACTGTCCCTCAGCTCTTCAGCTCAAGGCTAGCGCTCTACCACTTGAGCCACAGTGCCACTTACAGCTTTTTTTTCTTTTTGCCTATGTGGTACTGGGGAATCGAACCCAGGGCCTCAGGCATGCAAGGCAAGCGCTCTACCGCTGAGCCACCTTCCCAGCCCCCTGAATACCTTCTTAATTTTTCACTTTACATATGTTTGATTCGTTTTAAATCAGGGCTTATTTCTACTTTTTATTCCAATGGCTATAAAATTAAGGGGTTTGAAGGAACAGTATTGTTAGTGTACTTTGAATCTTACTGAAAATAAATATGAAAATTAATCTTTTTAGTTTAGACTATCACATAGAAAGATAGGTGCTTCTGTTTGAGCCTCAAATGGTTCTGTAAAAAAAAAAAAAAAAAAACAACTCAGTATTTTCCAGGAAATTAATTTCCTTTTTCTTTCAGAAACCTGTGGATTTTTGTATCTAAGTTTACTGAATTTGATGCAAGAAAATTACATAAATTATATAAGCATGCTATTAAAAAGCGGCAAGAATCTCAGGTAAATCAATACTTTTTGTTGTTATTGTTTTTGAAAGGGGGTGGCCTGTCCTGGAGCTTGAATTTAAGAGCCTAGGCATCAGCCCTGGGCTTAGCTCAAAGCTTCAAGGCTAGTGCTCTCTACTGTTGAGCAACAGCTTCCCTTTTGGCTTTTGGTGGTTCATTAGAGATACGAATCTCAATAGACTTTCCTGCCCAAACCACAGTCCTCAGATCTCAGCCTCCTGAGTAGCTAGACTACAGGCATGAGCCACTAGCATATATAATTTCTACTTAGAAAAAAGATTTTAGGGCTGGGAAGGTGGCTCAGCAGTGTTGTGCTTGCCTTGCATACATGAGGCCCAGGGTTTGATTCCTCACAACCACATAAGCAGAAAAAGTCAGAAGTGACGCTTTAGCTCAAGTGCGGTAGTGGACTAGCCTTGAGCTGAAGGTTAAGGGACACAGTCCAGGCCCCACAACCGACTCCCCCCCCCCCCAAAAAAAAAAAGACTTTATGTGTAAAGTAACATTTGTGTTCCATGTGTGCATTTTAATACCTTACGTGGGAATTTAAAGTGTCTTCCTTTCTCCCTCATCCCCCTTATATGAGTATTTTAAACCACTTAAAAAGACTCTTATGTATTTTAGCAAAACAATGACCAGAACAGCAACTTGAATGCTCATGTGATTAGAAATCCAGGTAAGTTAAATCTGTTTTCCTTTTTTAAAAAGTATATAAACCACATTATTAAATGGTTTAAACTGTTTAAAGTACCATTGTGCTAAGTGGATTCTGTAGTTCTCATACAAGTTTACATTATTTTTTTCAAAAGATATTCTCTTGTAGTATTTTAGCTTACTATCCTTTCTGTAAAACAATCTTTTGACAGTTTCTAGGAAATGTAGGATGATTGTTAAGTGAGTGAATTCTTGTTTTATATCATTCGAAAATTGAATTTTGATTTTCTGTGAGTCAGCAGGATAGTCCAAGGAAAATGTGGGTACCATATTTTTCAGTTGTAATTGTTTTACATTTCAAAACCAAGTAATCTTTTAAGCATTGGTGCTGCTTTTTAAACCATTTTTATTAACAGACTGTATTTTGGAAATTATTTTGTTTTAGTAAGGAGTTATTCTTTATCTAGCCATTAAGGTAGTTTTACCGCATTAACAAAAACGTCTCTTTCTTATCTAATAGATGTAGAAAGGTTAAAAGAGAATACAAATCATGATGACAGCAGCAGGGACAGTTACTCTTCTGATAGACACTTATCTCAGTATCATGATCATCACAAAGACCGGCACCAAGGAGATTCTTATAAAAAGACTGATTCTAGGAAAAGACCCTATTCTTCATTTAGTAATGGTAAAGATCATCGTGAATGGGATCACTACAAGCAAGACAGCAGGTACTTGACTTACTTTTTTGAAAATGTTGCTTATACATGTCTCTTTTTGATTATATTTGATGTATTTGACCTATATTGGTCAAGGAGGTTTTCCAAAATCAGAACAGATCTTGTTTATTTAATAAGAAATGTTAATATACAGTGCTTTTTGTTATTCATTTTAAGAACTGAATTTTTCTATGAAACTTTTTGTTTTTGCTGATCCTGGGGCTTGAACTTGGGCCTGAGCGCTGTCCCTGAGCTCCTTTTTTGTTCAAGGCTAATATTCTACCACTTGAGCCACAGCACCACTTCTGACTTTTTCTGAGTAGTTTATTGGACATACAAGTCTCACAGACTTTCTTGCCTTGGGCTGGCTTCAAATCATGATCCTTAGATCTGAGCCTCCTAAGTAGCTAGGAATACAAGCCTGAGCCAACAGTGCCTGGCTATAAAACAGTTTTGAATTAAAAAACTGAAGTCAAAATACACAGTGAAGCCAGGTGCCGGTGGCTCACACCTGTGATCCTAGCTACTCAGGAGGCTGAGACCTTAGGATCGCGGTTCAAAGTCAGCCCCGGCAAGAAACTCCGTGAAACTCTTTTATCTCCAATAAACCACCAGAAAACTGGAAGTGGCACTGGAGCTCAAGTGGTAGAACACTAGCCTTGAGCTGAAGAGCTGAGGGACAGTGCCCAGGCCCAGAGTTCAAGCTACGTGATTGACCAAAAAAAAAAAAAAGTACACAGTGAAAGTTGTGGAGACTATTGGGTCAAATGCTCTCCAAAATACAGATTAAAGTAAAAATGTTGGGGAGAATTGTACATTCCATATTTTTAAAATTAGTGTTCCTAAGTCAGAAAATATGTTTTTGTTTTCGTTTTCTCCCTCCTCCTGTTCACAAGTAAGATTGTATATTCTATATTGTTATATAACCAAATAATTTTCATTAATCAATATTCCTGGTGGTTTTTAAGGTAATTTATGATATTTAATGAAATACTAAGTATATACAATTAAAAGCATATCTTAAGTATTTTTTAGGAAGTTTCTTTTTAACATTTAAATTTGCATTATTTGACTAAAAGCTGAATTTCTCTTTTATTAGGTACTACAGTGAGAGAGAAAAACACAGAAAGCTGGATGATCACAGGAGTAGAGATCACAGGTCAACTTTGGAAGGAAGTTTAAAGGATAGATCTCATTCTGACCATCGATCTCATTCAGATCATCGGTTACATTCAGATCACCGGTCAAGTTCTGAATACACGCATCATAAATCTTCCAGGGATTATAGATATCACTCAGATTGGCAAATGGACCACAGAGCTTCCAGTAGTGGCCCCAGGTCACCACTAGATCAGCGGTCTCCTTATGGCTCCAGATCTCCGTTTGAACATTCAGTTGAACACAAAAGTACACCCGAGCATACCTGGAGCAGTAGGAAAACATAACAAAAAACTTGTCTTTCTGGACTTAACTTTTAGCCATATATCATAAACCAACACAGTAATTGCCTTACATGACTTGAAAAAATTGATTATAAACAGATATTCTATCAGTAGCAGTATTGTTACTTCTTTCCAGGATGCAAGGTCTATTACCCCAACAGAAGAGAAAATATTTTTATATTTAAGGATTATGCTGCACTGTACTACAAATATTGTAGTACTTTTTTTTTCTTTTTTTAAAGAAATGAAAAATGTTTACTATAACAGGGACCTCAACACTGCCCTCCCGTATCCGTATAGGCTGGATAAAACTGTTTTTAAAAAGTCAGTGATTTTTCAGCTGACCTCCATTTAAATTATGTTTGTATATGTACTCTGACCTGTGATCATGTTTCAGGAAGGAATGAAAGAGAGTTCTTTTCTTAATAAAGAAAAAACACTCAAGGACTTTGTTCACTTTCCAAAGCTACTTGTTTACATTGTACACTGCGACCACCTTGCCGCTTTTCATCACAAGCTTGAATATTTAAATTCTGTACTTATACCTGTAATATAGCCAGGAATTTCCTGTTTGTGATCTATTATTATGCCTTTTTACAAAAAAAGAGATGGCTGTAAATTATTGTAAATGTATTAAATGAGCTTTCCTTATTTCCCTTTCTCAGGCTTTTTTTGACTGTTCCTTTCCCTACCAACTCAGGCCTTCTTATTAAAAAAAAATCAGTGTAAAAACACTTTCTAATGATTTGTCTTGATGGAATCATTGTTTAGAATGTAAAAATGGGGAAAGGGGCCACCTATTTCCATTAGTTCTTTTTATATCAAATATTTTATTAGATACATGTTATTCCCTCTCTCCTTTATTTTCTTTTTTAGTCAATATTTGTTTGTATGTAAAAAAATTGGTATGCTCTGGAAACATTTTTTCAGAAGGTAGACATATGAACACTCTCAAAATCCAACATAGCCAAAAGTGATGATAAATGCATTGTTTTCTCTTTTCATGTGGGCAATAATGTCAAATGTGCTATGCAGCCAGGTTAACATTTTAGATAAACTCGATTGACTTTTAATATAAACTGTTACAGTGCACACTGATTGTATATAAAAACCTTCTTTATGACAAATTAAATTTAAGTAAAAGGATATGTGGGCTCCTGTAGTTTTCTGCTGCTTTCTTATTCCCAAACATCTAGTCATTATTTTAAAGTGACATTTAGCTGCCAGAAAAGGATATTAGCGTAAGCAGTGGAATATAGATAAGGTGTAGCAGTGCTAAATCTGCTTTGAAGACTTGGGTCTTTCTAGAGAGTAAAACTTGGGTCTTTGGATCCTTGGGCTTCCTACAGACATTAGAATGTCTTATATTTATTCGTGTATTTTTTTTTTTTTTTCTTTGTTATATCTGTAGGAATTTTTTTTTTTTTTTTTTGGTCCGGTCGTGGGCCTGAACTCTGGGCCTGGGCGCTGTCCCTCAGCTCTTCAGCTCAAGGCTAGCGCTCTACCACTTGAGCCACAGCGCCACTTCTGGTTTTTTTCTTTTTGCTTATGTGGTGCTGAGGAATCGAACCCAGGGCCTCAGGCATGCAAGGCAAGCGCTCTACCACCGAGCCACCTTCCCAGCCCTCTAGGAATTTTTGAATTACATCACACATTTTGGATATATGCTGTGATGCAACAAATTTGAATCTTTGACAATTTTAAGTATGGGTATATTCTATACTATCCCAATATATATCCTCATGTATTAGTTGTGGGAACAGTCTACTAAAATTAGTGCATAAATTTGTCATATTTTTCTTTTATCAAGTTAAGTCTAAAATTTATATACAATCTCCCTTTTTTACAGCAGTGAGTCTTTTTTAAGTAGTTAACCTCAAAAATGAATTTCATTGCTGTCAATGTGTGAGGCAACAACTCAACTTTTAAACCTCAAATTTATATATAAAGAGCTCAGTGTTGGCACAGTTTTTAAGGTTTTGTACTTTTCTCCATATAAGTGATTTATTTTTTTGGTGCTGGTCCTGGGGCTTGAACTCAGGACCTGGGTGCTGTCCCTGGGCTTTGTTTTTGCTCAAGGTTAGCACTCTACCATTTGGAGCCACAGCTCCACCGTGGTTAGTAGATCAGAGTCTTAACTTTCCTGCCCAGGCTGGTTTCAAATTACCATCTTCAGAACTCAGCCTCCTGAGTAACTAGCATTACATGCATAAGCCACTGCACCCAGCTTTCTAAATGATTTTATTCCACAAGATAGCATTCAACTAAAACTTGATGCTTGATAAACTCATGGAAGCAAAGGACCTAAATCAGGGTTGGCATTTTAAAATCAATTTGTAGCTGGAACATTTATATGATATTTATTGTATAGATTTTATACAACACTGCATTTTTGAAGACAAGGGGATAGGTTCTAATTTTTTTTAACAGTTCATTTAATTGAGGATGTTGGCTAAGTTAAGTCTAAAACTATCATTTAATAATAGAAAATATGTCAATTTGTAAAAAGTCAGCAATTATGTGAGAAAGGAACAAGCCATAAATTTACTAAGACAGTGGAGAAGAACAGTAGTTCATAGCTATAACAGGGAACGTTATAAAATATGCTTATTTTTGTCTTTTACATGCTCATTTGCTTTGCTATTTTTATCCATTTATGTTTAATTTTTTAAGAATGAGAATATGCATAGCATTGTACCAATTAACCCTCCAAATAAATGATTCTTATTAAAAGCAATGACTTGTCTGCTTTTAAAGACAATATGTTAGAGATTCATTTTCATACTGGAAAGCAGAAGGTACATGATTTTTTTTTTCATTTCAAAGTGGATGGCTTAATAAAGAGAATCATTACAACTTTGTGTAACATAGTCAGCTTCATATGTGATCATTCCTCCAAAACATTTGTAATGTTTTTGTAGGTTTATAATTAAGGAGTTGTTAACATTTTGAATGATTCATAGCCTAACAGTTAAAAATTAACCTAATGATTTAAAAATATTTTAGGTTTCTGGATTGGCATGTAAAAACAGTAATACTCATTCCTCTGTCAAACATTAAATTCAAGACAGTTTTAAACAGCAGGTGAAACTTAGCACTACCAGACTTGATAGGGGAGGAGTTTTGAAGAGAAGGCATTGGGACAACTGTGCCACAGAGGCAAACCTGTTGTAGGTACCAGTAAGAAAACAGCTCAATTGAAATGATGTGGTGTTTTGGAAATCAGTGATTTTGTAGAATATCGTGTGGTCACTTTGTCTTTTTTAATTTAAAACATGATCTGATTGCCTTATAGAAAAATCCTGTGATTTTTTTTTTAAGAAATTGAAGATAGGGAATCTTAGTTCTGTAAAAGGAGGAAAGATAAGATTGCATAGAAAAGGGGTTTTAAGTCAGTTTTTAACCACCAAATGTATACATTCTCCTAATTGAACTTCGTGCACTGCATTTTTCTACCTTAGAAGGCATGTAGATTAGTGAAACTACCCTTCTATTTAGCTTTTGAAAAAAAGTAAAAGGTACTACTTTATTTGGTATTTTTATCTAGGTATGCTAGATTGGACTAGAATTTACAAATGTGCCCCAGACCAGACTTCATCATCACTTTGGCCTTCCAAATGCTAGATTGCACCCTCTCATGTTCTTTCTTTCTCCTCTCTTTCTTTACTCTCTTGTCTCCTCTCTCCTCTCCTTGTGTCTGTCCTCTCTTGCATACTCACTCTCACTCCCAGCTTTTGATTTTGAACTCATGGCTCTCTTGCAAGACATTTCTCTACCACTTCAAGTCATGACTTTATGCAAATACAAAACCTTGGTTTCTTTACAAATCTGTTAACTATTGTTTTATTGCATTAGGTACAGCCATGTTGTTGTAAAGGGGAAGTGGACATACCTGGCCTATGCCTTATCTTCCAGAGAAAGCATCAGACTTTTTTATATGCTCTAGGGCTCTATGAAGAAGTTTCATAAAAAAATGTCCATTAGGCTTTTTTTTTTCTTGGGTGATGTGTGAATTACATTGATTTTTATAAATTTTTATAAACTTAACATGCCTGGGATAAACACCCTGTTTTATGAAGGTTTATTCCTCCTTCGTGTACTGTTGGATTTGTTAAACGTTTCTGTATTTACTTTTATTTTTAGGATTGCATGTCCAAGTTGGTCACAATATTGGTCATTAATTTTCTGTTGAACCTTAATACGAGGTTGATGCTCACTTTCTGAAGAACTGAAAACCTGTATTCCTTTACTCTGTTTCCTATAAGATTTTGTGTAAGAGAAATACCTGTTAATGTTTGACACAATTTACCAGTGAAGATATTTGGGGTGGTTTTTAGTAGATGTAGGATTATTCAGATTTTCTATTTCCTCAGTAAAAAATTTTTATAATATGCCTTTCCAGGAATTGGTACACTTCTTAAATTGTCAAAATTTGGCATATGTGTATATATACATGTGTGTGTATACATGTACATACTTTTAAGTATGATCTTTAGCTTTCCCTTTTGTTGAGGTTTACCAATTTTATTGACTTAAAACCAGGATTTTTATTTTTCCTTTTTTTAACTTTCATGAGCCATTTTTCATAGTGCTTGTTAATTATAAAAAGTTTTTATCATGTCACATAGATTTATATATGCGTACATTGGTATAAATACACATACATTTACACAATGTACTTGTCTATTTTTGTGTATGGGGGGGGGCTTGGACTTGGGGCTTGGGTGCTTTCTCTGAGCTTTTTTGCTCAAGGCTTAATACTCTACCACTTTGAGCCACAGTGCCACATGGGTTTTCTTGAGTGGTTAATTGGAGGTAAGAGTCTCGCGGTGATTTTTCTCACTGGGCTAGCTTTGATCTGCAATGCTCAAATCTCAGCCTCCTGAGTACCTGAATAGTTAGGATTACAGGTATGAACTACCAGTGCCCGGCTTCAGTCATATTTTTAAAATCATGTTGAGAAATCCTTATTGTATTTCCATGTTATATACACTGGAGATTATTTTCCTCTAAATGACCACAAAGTGCTTTTTTTTTTTTTTTGTTGGTCGTGGGGTCTGAACTCTGAGCCTGAGCTTCTGTCCCTCAGCTCTTCAGCTCAAGGCTAGCTCTCTACTGCTTGGAGCCACAGTGCCACTTCCAGCTTCTTCTGTGTATGTGGTGCTTCATGCATGCCAGCCATTTTCCCAGCCCCAAAGTGCAATATTTTTAAAAGCAAACTAAAAGCTGTTGAGAATTTTTATGCCAATACTATTTTTAAAGTATTGAATGGTTTATTCATTCAGCTACATATATAGCAAAAAAACATTTTAGCTTTTTTTCTTCCTCTTTCTGGTAGATTGGGCTTTAAATTCAGGGTCTTAAGCTTTGGCTGGCTCTCTACTACTTTAGGCATGTCCCTACCCTAGCTCTTTGCTGATATTTTTGAGTTGAAGTCTTACAGACTTCCCAGTCTAACTTTAAACCATGATTGTCCAGATCTCAGCTTCTTGTGTAGCTAGTATTATGGGTATGCCTGGCTGACTAGTCAATGTGTATATTTAACGAAGAAAATGTATACATTCAGCTAGCATGTCTTGTAATTGGCATAAGTACTACACTTGTATTGTGGAAATATACAAGCTGAATTTCCTCCTATTTTGGAATATTTCTATTATTATTAAATGGTTGTACAGAGGAGTTACGATCCCATAAGTCAATTTATGAGTATACAGTGCTTCTTTGCTCAGTATCACCCCTTGTTCTCCCCCATTTCCCCTTTCCCATCCGTAGTACCCTCAAGATACATAGTTGATTTTTTACACAGTCTACATTGAACATAATGACTACAGTTGATCACCCTTCCTCCATTCCTGTCCCCTCCCCCAAAACATGTTTCCATGTCTTGACATTCTTTTTGATAAATAGTATTTAAGTTGAACAGAGGAGGTTTTTTTTTATTGTATTTTATGGACTATTTTTAGTAGCATATAATTATTAAAATAATGAGTTTCATTATGCCAGATTTACATATATGTATACATTCGCATAAACACATGTATACACACTATCTATATATATATATATATTTCCTCTTATTAATTCCTGCCTTGCCCTCTCATTTCCCTTCTCCCATTGGTTCCCAGCAAATAGTTCCTATTTTACTT